GCAGGTCCCTGATTAACTGCTTTGACCATTAGGTGTGTTAATACATCAACCTGATCGATGCCCCTGCGCTGCCTTGAGGTGGAGCAGGACGTGGGGCTACTGACTGTGGCCCGTCATCAGCAGCCAGACCTCAGGGAAGAGCTCCGTGCTGGAGGTGCTCTCCAGTATGCAGCTCCCGCAGGGCAGTGGTGCATGGGTGAAGTTGGGATGAGAGCCCTGGAGACCCCATAAGCCCACTAATGCAGAGGTAGAGAGGGAATCTATAAACTTCAGTCATCTCGCTTTCTGATGCCATCTCCATACTCCCACCCTCCAGGTCTACAAATTACAACTAGCGCACAGGAGGACCTGGACCATGTGATAAGTCCGTGGCATAATGCACAAACTGCGTTAAATGTGCCATGGTGAATATAAAATGTTTTTAGGAATATATATGTTGAATATATATAGTGACCTTTAACCAAATGATGTTTGAAATATTTGTGAATAGAAGGCGTTTGTTGTTAAGGTGACGTCCCAAGGTGAGACAATTACAAACAGCGGTCGTTTTCCCCACCATGTAAAATAAGTGATGCTGAGTGACCTTAAACTGAGTAGACATTGGCACAGTTTCGCATACAGAACTTAGGTTGCTTAAAGGCAGGAATGTAAAGGGAGGTACAAGAGCAAAACATTGACAGGGTTTTGCATAGAAGACGGTTGCTTAAAGGCAACCATGCAAAGGGAAGTACATAGAGCAAGGCATTGCATCTGTCTTTGTTCATTATTTACTTTCACCGTTTGTGTGTTCTTTCATTTAACTGTATATACATCTGTCTTTTATTTAATTTCAACAAGTCCATTTCATTGTTTTACGTCAATATTCCTCTTTCGTATGGCTGATGTAGATGCAGAGTAACAACTACACATTCACATTCAGGTGGTCAAGCCAGATAACCACGTCAGGAGAAGCAGAGTGTATCGCTGTAATGTCTCCTTCATATTTGTGGATTGGGCATTGCGTCGTTATATATATTTCCCTCATTAAAATGCAAAGCAATTTATAATATTTTTGACATGCGTTTTTCTGGATTTTCTTGTTGTTATTCTGTCTCTAACTGTTCAAATAAACGTACCATTAAAATTATAGACTGATCATTTCTTTGTCAGTGGGCAAACGTACAAAATCAGCAGGGGATCAAATACTTTTTTCCCTCGCTGTATATGGCTGTTTTGGGTGACCATAGTTGCACACTGGAGAGTTTTTAATTTTCCATTTGTGCATCAGGTATTCACATCTGCCATGGATTGTGCAGATGCGGTTTAGTGTGGACCATGAGCTTTATGAAAAATCAAACCCAGGGTTCTTTTGTTTTAGGTATTTCCCAATGTGTTCGTGAGTTATTTGTACTCCTTTCAGCTCTCCAAGCTTAATGACGGTTGAAATCGCATTCATAAAGGTGAAGCGTTTGGGTCCAAAAAGGCTTGCGTGACTTCAAGCGATGACAAGGGACGTTATTGAGGTCCTGATGAATGGGTAGGCGACTGTTTTCCTCGATTTGCAGAACTTCTTGGAGGGTTGCAGCATTGTGGTGGATGGGTGGGGGAGAGATGTGACAACACGAGCAGCCAGAATATTGGGGTCGACTTGAGGGTTTCAGTGATACACCGCATTGCAGTGTTCAGTTGGACATCAACAAGTCAAATGTGATTACTTCTGGTGCACAGCATTCGGCTACAGAGTACACAAATGCCATCGTTGATATCCGTAGCACTGGTGCTGATGCTCCCCCGCCTATGCTTGTCAGTTTCTGGACCAGGTTGACCCTTGTTTTGGTCTTGGCGGCTACCTTTTTCAGGTGGCCATGGAAGGTTAGTGTATGGTCCAGCTTCACTCCGAGATAGGTTGGAGTGAGGCGTGTCACACAGTGTTGCCGCAGGTAATTTCAAAATGTACTTGGTGCCCCTAATATCAAAATTAAACACAGTGACTCTTGTCTTATGGGAATTTGGCTTGAGCCTCCATTCCCGAAAATATTCCCCCATCGTTGTGTAGGTTTTTGGTTTAGAGTAGTGTCGATGTCATTGAAAGTGGCTGTTTGCGTTGCCAAGGCAAGGTCATCAGCATATACATATTTTCACAACCTGGTTGGTGGTATGTCGCTCGTGTAGACATTAACGAGCGTTTGTGCGAGTACTGAACCTCATGGCAATCCATTGTTGAAGAATCGGGGTGAGTTGGCTTTGTCATTCATATAGACATGCAGTTGCCTATTGGTCAGCATCGTCCACAGCAGGTGTATTGTTTTGAGGCAAAGAATGGTCCTTGCGAGCTTTAACATCAAGCCCTTAATCCAGACTGTGTCGTAGGCCAATGTAGAAAGCCCACAAAGGCTGCACCGGTATTGGATTTCTTATGGAATCCTGTGCGTTTTAAGGGCCAAAACTTGGTCACAGCAGCTGCATCCATTCCAGAATCCAGGTTCTTCGGGGATCACTGCCTCGACGATGTGGCTGATTCTCCGGATGATTATGCATTCTGGGAGTTTATAGCTCATGCACATGAGTGATGTTGGTGTCCCAGGTTGTCAGTTTGCTTGTCCGGTTTGGGTATTGCAATGGCCATCACCTCCCACCATGCTTTTGGAATGCATCCGGTTTTCATGGTTTTGGTATACAGGGTTGTCAGCCATTGGAGTCCCCTAGGGCCTAAGTGATAGAGGAATTACCATCTCTGTCAGCAGCCTTGCCTTTCTTAATTTCAGTAAAATTCTCCCTCACTTTCTCTGTTCTGATGGTGGTGGGGTCTTGTGGAGAAATTGAGGCCAATATCTGGTGTAATTGACTACGGATCTCTCTCTCTCTCTTGGTGTTTTTGTTAAGCGGTCGTTTTGTGTTCCCCACTAGTTTGGAGGCTATAGAGTTGGCCAGGACTCTCGCGAACCGGTATTGCTGGGTTAGTAGCACCCAGATGTCGTAGTAGGGCCCAGGCACAGCTCCTGGAGTGTGTAAAGTCCTGGCTTTCAACACACTCCATCCACCACTAACTTCTGGCTGAGTCTACAAAGACTCTAGCAGAGCCTTTCCAACCTGTGGGCTGCCCAACCGGTTGTACTGTCGAAGCAGGTCCTCTTTTGGCCAGCAGGGAGTGTATTCTTTTTGGAGCCTTCGGGGGATGCTCTTCTCTCTGCAATATTTTTTTTTATTTAATTGTCTGTGTTGATCAATTTGAAAATACCACAGGCCACCTGGGACTTTGCCTCGGCACACCTTTTGCAAAGCACTGCTCTCTCTCGGGTCTCTATGTGATTCTTCGTGTTGCACACTCGAAATGCCACATTAGGGCAAAGGTGGTAACGTTGTATGCTTGCAATTGTCACTTACACTGCTTCTGGTGGAAGGGCCTCCACTGGAGGGAGCTCGAGAGAGCGCTCTAGAGCGTGTTTTTTCCTACGCTTCTCTACTCGCCAGACATGCAAGAGGTGGAAGTAGCCACAGTTTACCCCACCACACAACCTGCTGATTTATATGCTGGGTGGACCAGAGGATTTTATAAACCTGTCCATTATTTAAACTGCCGCAGTTGGAGATCTAAATGCAATGGCAACCTTTGTATTGCAACCCCAGTGTGCTATACATTACATTACTGCAGCATCCCATGTGGTTATTGTCTCAGATAGCAACGTTTTTCAGATAAAGGTTCTAAACATTTCTGAAATTCACATTGAACAATTATTTTGATATGTGAGAAGTTTGTAAATATGCCGATAGAATATAGCACCATTAAACAGTTTTTTTTGTGATACTGCATTGGCAATGCTCAGTAACTGTACTTCAGGGGAAACATCGCTGGTAAATACAGCGCTCTAACAGCTGATCTAGCTTCATTTGAAGTGTATTTCCATCGTTGGAGACAAACCAACGCCTTCTAAAACCACAAGAACTTTCCACTTGAACAATCACACAGCAGATGCCACCATCGATTTGTCTTTCTACGATAGTCCAGTGTGCGATGACCCCACACCAAGATATCTAGGGGTTATCACGCACAGAAGCCTGACCTTCAAGCCTCACATAAAACAAATCCGTGAAAATATCAAATCAAGATGATCTTGCTTCAGAAACTTACAGGAATGATCCGGGGCGCCGCAGCTGATGTGCTGCCAACTGCCACTCTCTCATGAATCTACTCAGCGGCAAAGTATTGTGCTCCAGGCTGGTCCGAGAGATCTTACACAAAAATGGCAAGTGCATAATTAAATAACGTAATGCGCATCATAACCGCATCACTGAAACCGATACCAATCGCCTGGCTCCCTGTTCTGGCGAACATCCTGCCACCAAATATTTGCAGAGACATGCAAACTGCAAAGAAGCTTACACGTTTTCATGCCGACAACCACCTACCCATCAACCAATCACCCTTCTGGGATCGTTCTGTTACCTTTCTAGAATTTCTGGAAGAACGCTGGCGAACAGAGTAGAGCAATGCAGAGGTCCAGAACAAACACCTAATTTGAGACTCAAACATCACATCTTCTGGCTTTGATATTCCTTGAAGACGCTGGTGTACTATCAATGGTATTGGAGCATAAATAGGCTGATGCGAACATCTCCTTAAAAAATGGAGTTAAGGACGAGTCACAGAATCACAGTGCGACTGTGGCCATGCAACCCAAACAATGGACCATATAGTAAACCACTGTAGTCTATGCTCATTCAACGGCGGAATAGCAAAACAACACACATTCTCCCTTGAAGCCCTCTCATGGCTAGCAAACATCGACATTGTCATTTCGCTCTGAAACATACTGCCGAGAAAAAGAATAGAATGCTCTTGGTTGAATAACATTATTTGACTTGTATGGTATGCAGGGAGGGTTTACGATGATTGAAAACTGACATTTGTAAAACTTGTCTAGTAAATAAAACACTAGGGGAAGATGACTTTGCGAAATATTGCAGGTAGGATAGGCATGCTCGGTCACACCCATTTTTGTTTCGTATAAATTAGCACTCACGAGCCCCATACCCATTTGAGGAAGGACACGGGCCAGCACCATGAAACTCCTCAGTGGCTTTCTGTTGCTCTACCTCTTCACTGGTAAGCTTCATACATTCGACAAATCACCCATAATGCATCCAATATCAGTTCTCTAGAAGCTAAGCAGGCTTGGGTCTCGACAATTAGGTGGGCAACCATCGTGCACTGATTGTTGTAGACTGCGGGCTACGTGGTGAGGAGCGGAGGGCAGTGCAAATTTCATTGCACTCTATTGTTAAGGCCCCATTGCGATTGTCCTTGCATTCACCAATCTACATGGACAAAGCATGGTAAAGTATGGTAAAGTATGGTAAAACAACCCCCATGACCAGCACGGTATGGGGAGTCCCTCATACAGACGTGGGCGGCACGGTGGCGCAGTGGGTCTCACTTTGTGCCCCACAGTAAGGGGCTTTATCTTTAGTGCGTACGCGTGGTGGAGGGGTTAACCCAAATGCGGACGCTTGAGTATGGGTGGGGGGGGGGTCTCTGGACAATGTACGTACGCATAGGAAACGGGGGGGGGGGGGGGAGTTAAGCCTCGATAATGCCGCCTGCGGTGGACTGTCTGTTTGCTTAAACACGTTCATACTATTCATCCTTGATTGTTTCCGCGTGGATTAAATATCGGCCGTTCTGTAGGATTTCGGGGGGTGGGGGGTGCGTCAAGCGCACGCAGGTGGGGGTAAAAAGTTTGCGTGTGTACAGGGAGGATGTGGTCAAGTTTTGACATATTTTTTTGCATACCTACTAAATGGATGGCCCCTAGGAAGGGCATGTTTTACTTGGGTGCCCCTCCGTGTGGAGTGTGTATGTTTACCCGCCTGCCGTGCCTCCTCCAGGTTATCTGGTTTCCTCCCATAACTAAAAGAACATACAATGTAATGGGTATTGGCTAAACATCTCAATGCTAAAAAATAAGACAAATGGGTTTAGACATAGCAACATTGGCCACTCCTGCAAAAAACTTTGCAGGACTCTCCTGAAAACATTTTCTCGGTGAGTCTGGAGACCAGGGAACCAAACAGGTTTGTTTTTGCTTGCAGTTTGCAAGTGGTAAAAGGGTCTACATAGTATAAAGGGAGGTCCTCAGGCGTATGGCAGCAGCGAAAATTAATGACGGGAGTCCTAATGGGGACGAAATGTCGAGATGGCCATATTTGCAGGTGAAACTCAATTTAACAACAATAAACGCAGCAATTAATTATGTTTACATCAGAACAGCATATAATGGGGAGAGAGCCTTTCTGGTTAAAACATTTCCTGTATTGAGAAAGTATTTTAACTAATTTACAATGTACTTTATTTTGATTACATTATCACTTAACCATTAATACCGTGGATGTTTAATAAACACTTAACTATATCTTGATTTGAAGCTTTCGTGACTGCAGGAATCCATTCTCTTTGGTTCTTTCGGTAAAGTCACATAGGTATAAAATAAAATAAATCACGACGTTTCGGGCGCAACACAAGCGTCCATCATCAGGTGGGAAAGCATGTACTGTTGCTGCTGAGGCAGACTGTTTTATAACAGACCATGCTTTCACACCTGATGATGGACTCTTGTGTTGCGCCCGAAACGTCGTGATTTCTTTTATTTTATACCTACGTGACTTTACTGAAAGTCACCGAAGAGTACTTAACTAAATGTTTACAATTTAATTTGTATACTTTAATAACGCTTAAAAATCACCACTGTACAGTGCAATTTGAGTTACCATCGTGATGCAGAGGTGGAAAGCTGTCGTTCACTGGGTGTGAAAGGCTGCAAATGTATGGCAAGATCACCAAAGAAAATGAGGTGGGGTGATACCCCACCTGAAACTAAATGCACAATGAAATGTGTTTCTAAATTTCATGGACTTTAAATTCACCATTTCCATGACAAATGTGACATGGAATAGATTTTTTGTCATAATAAATATTTAATAATAAAGATGGTACTTTTATTTCATAATATATTTACATAAATGTACGCTTATTTGCAAAAAAACTGAATTAATATTTCAATTTATACAAGTGTTTTAAGTCAATCTTCAAAAGGACTCATAAATGTAATTTCCAAGATCGACAATCAGGTAATAAAGAACACCCAATGGATTGCTGTCACATTTGTAATGAAGAAAGAATACCTAAACTTGAGCAAAAAGGTACATTCGCTGAGGATATTCATATAAATGATGGGCGAATGGCCGCAATGGTACTCATTGCACCCTATGGGAAAACTGGACATCCTGCTCAGTGTAGAACTCAGAAAACATTGTAAGGATGAGTTGTCAAGCCTCCCGTTCTAAGGTTGATGCAGACAAAGACCTCGGGGCTCCTGTTCAAGGTTGCGCCAGGCAAAGACAAGAATGAACCCTAGGAGCTTGGATCCAGATAGGGGTGCCACGGTGGCGTGATGTTAACTACCTCGCCTGGTAAACAGGAGGTGGTGGGTATTATCCCGACCCTGACGCCTGTATATTTGGAGTTTGCATGTCTCTCTCCCTGTGGTCGTGTGGATTTTTCTCTGGGTCCTCCAGTTGTTTTTCTCCACATTTAGAATTAACATACGTTTAGAGTATTTGACTGCAATACATTTCTACACGATGACAAGCCACTTTGCTAAAGCTATCATTCGTGGCCAGGCCGCTTCTGAAAAAGAGCTACATATCTCAGTGGGCCGTACATGGTAAAATTAAATAAAAGTTTAATTTGATTGAATTTACAAGGCTTTAATATTGAATTTGCTTTGAACGAATCTTCCACTAAATGTACTGTGAAAACAAGGTTCATGTATGTACAGTAAACCTTGGATTGCCAGCATAATTTGTTCCAGAAACGTGTTTGTAATCCAAAGCACTCGTATATCAGTTGTGATCACGTGACGCTCGGCAGACAAAGCGCATACGTACTACTCGTATTGCAGGACCTCGCTCGTTTATCAAATTCATATTTATTTAAAATATTTGCTCGTCTTGCAAAACACTCGCAGACCAAGTTACTCGCAATCCAAGGTTTTACTGTACGTGTTATGTTGCACTTCTTTTGCTCCGTATGTAGCCAACCATGCTAACCTGCAAACGTGAAAATATTTTTTGACAACAATGACACGAACGGTGAAAGCACAATGTAACACACCACCACTAAGCACCCTTCTCAAGCAGGGCTCGTAGAGAACGCACGTACAACTGGGCACATCATTTATTTACACTGTCTCCAGTTTTATCAAAAGCTGTAAAGCTGTCAAAATACATTCTGGCATTGAGCAGCACTGCATAGATGGGGGTGATGTGCATTGTGTGCAAATTCTGGTCCAAGTTGTCTCTTTGCAGTATTATTTTTTTAAGTGTTTTCAGTTGCAGCTTTTGCACACAATACACATCACCCCCATTCATGTGGTGCTGCTCAAAACCAGAATTTATTTAGATAGCTGTACAGATGTCTAACATTCTCAATCATGTCTCGTATCTCCGATAAGACGTTCAACGTACATACAAAAAAATTGTTGAAAAAAGTAGGAAGGGAATAGCCAAGCAACCATTTCAGTGATCATGCCACACATGATGTACAGCTATCAAACTTTCTTCATAAGATTACTATGAGAACCACATTGAAATGGGCTTTGTGGATGTGTTTCAGCTGGTGGAGAATGCATTTGGTTGGAGCCAGGATCGGAGTTCTACAGCGCCGACTCCTGCAGATACTCCTTCCGTGGAAGTGGGAACTGGATTTACCTGTCCCCAAACTGCCTGCATACATTTGTTGTGGAAGACGATGAGGTGGTCAGCCTTTACATGAGTAACTCGTAAGTAAATCAGACTAAGATAGGCAGGATGTGTGAAATAATGTACACTATGGTTATATCGATGATGGAATATACCCCTGTTATCATCAGCCATGATTCATCCACTGCTGGTTGAAGGGCTCCCCACAACATAACTGTCTTTCAAGGTCTCAAAATGTTACAATCCACCTAGCTCAGTGATGGGCAACCTAGACTAGTTAGTGGGCCGCATGAGCGGTCCTCTTTCACGTCATTGTGTCGCAAGCTTGAAACCGTGCTTGTGCATTAATCATGACCCCACGCATCACACGAGATACACTTAGATCAGGCCACCTCGAGGGGCTCCACGGGACACATGCAATTATTTAGACTTTATTTAGTACAGTGGTAAATAATTAAGATGGAGACACAACAATACTCAGGCTGTTGTGTAAATGGAGAGTCCATGATATCTAATTCCTTGTGTTGTTGTCCTCAGCTATTCCTACTGTGGAGGAAATGACACCATGGTGGTTGTGTATGATGGAGAGAACAACCAGGCACCAATCCTGGGCACCTACTCCTGCAGATCTACCACAAACTTCATTTCAACAAACTCCTCCCTGTCACTATACTACAAGTATTCTTCCAGCTCATACTCTTATATCTACGTGTCATTCTTTGCGTCCCCCGGTGAGAACGTACCATCTAACGTATTAATTCAAACAATATTTTATTGTAAATCATAGAGAAAATATCAAATGTGTTAAAGTTCAAAGATGTATGTTGAACTTCTTTCACACCATATATAGCCAACTGGCGGAAAGACAACATGAATAATATAGTACTGTATTACTCTGTTATGCTTAAGATTATTAATCTTTTCTAGTAGTAAGTGTAATGCAACGGTTCCCATTTTACATTAAAGCAAAGAAAAGGTTGATTCATTCACAACAGTTCATTCCTGGAGGTTACAGCCCAGAGTTAATGAGAAAACTGTGGAGCTAACATATTCCATTAATAACCAAGTTGTAACATAGGAATGCAGTAATGTGATATCGGTATTTTTAATATTTTGTTTTAATAGCATACTATTGAACCTATCGAATTGACTTCCAAAAGTGATATGATAAATATTTTACAACAAACTAATTCGTGTTAATATATTGTAGTCAAGTTTTCTGTATTTATTGGTATAAATTTGAACATGCCTCTCCACAGCTTCTTCTGGGTGTGGTGGGAGGCTCAGCGCTAATCAGATTGTGACATCTCCAAACTATCCAAACAACTACAGCAACAATGCCAGCTGCACCTGGGAAGCATATGCCCCACCTGGATACAAGATTGCGCTCTACATTTATGATTTTCAGTGAGTATTGCAGTGGAATGTACAAACATTTCTAATACTTGAATGACCATTTTTGCATAATTGTACCTTTTAATGCCATCACCAGCCATTGTCTAGTCACTACTGGATGTCTGTTAAAAGCTCACAGGGGTCTTTTGTCTTTCATGTAATACTAGCGGGAAGTACCCGGTGTTGCCCGGGTCTTAAAAATATTTCAAAACTACTCTTAAAATCTAACAGCAGTGCGTACTGACTGTGGTGGTACCTGATTTCACTGCAGCAGTGCATACTGTGGTGGTACGTGCTATGATTACAGCAGTGCATACAGACTGTGGTGGTACCTGCTATGATTACAGCAGTGCATACTGACTGTGGTGGTACCTGCTATGATTACAGCAGTGCATACCAACTGTGGTGGTACCTGCTATCGCTATAGTAGTTCATGCTGACTCTATAGCAGTATGTATCGTCTCTATAGCACAACGTACTCACCTGACAGAGTCGCATGGTGAGGCCTAGTCCCGTGCAGAGCCTCCGGCCTCGCCTAGATTGTCCAGCTGGCCGAGGTGGCACCTTGGCAGGCTGGGGCTGGGCTGCTACCCCCCTCCCCCTCCCACCAGCCACGATCTCCCCGGCCGCTCTGCAGGAATATCTACGGCCTATAGTGGTAGCATCTAGTGACTGTATAGTAGTAATAACTGCACGCATTGGGGTGGGGGGGGGGGGTATCACACAGTGAAGAATTAATCTGAGCATTTAGTGTATTTTTATAGCATTTTTAATGCGAAAGAAAATGTCCCCCTCACTCCCACCAAAGGCGTGCGACCTGGCATGGGCCATCCCCCCCACCAAAGGCGCGTGAGTTGGTATGGTCATTGGTATGGAAGCGAACAAAAAATCGCACTAAATCGCTAATGAAACTCATTTAAAGTTGACAGATGTGAAAAAGGAATAGCGCTTGCTCACCGCGGGGCTTACAGCGTGGTACCTGCCTATTTTTTTACGTAAACCCCACCGTTGGAGAGCCAAGCGCGCGACCACACACAAACCCACACACAATTTTTTACTTTTATATAGATTGGGTATGTGTGTGTCTAGGTTGACTCAGCCTTAAATGGGTACCTGGTATGGTGTGTTCACATCAGCACTGGGGAGACAACGATGGCCAAGCATCGTTCTGACCATCCACTCCCTTGTGCGCATGCCGGCCTTCATTGGTGCTTGCTAACGGCACTTACCCCAATAGTCTGTTAAAGGCTGTAGTGGGGATCTTTGTCTGTGGTGTGTTATGGAGCAGTAATGCAGTGTTTAGCAAATTGCGCGACAAACCCGGTGGACTGGTCACCCGGGTATGATTTGTGCTCACAAAAAATAATATTTACAAATATTTGAACTGGTCTTGGGCCTCTCCGAGGTCAACTCAGCCTCAAATGAGTACCTGATGCAGTATGTAAACATCAGCAGTGGGAAGACAAATATGGCTGGGTGTGGTGTTGGCCACCCAGCCTTTATAGGTGCACCCTAACATAACTTATACCAACAGTTTGTTGAAGGCTATATTGGGGTATCTTTGTCTTTGAAAACACCAAAATAAGCATGCGTCAGAGTCCCCAAAACAACTGGCATCTATGACATTGTCTGGCCAAACCCCATATGGTCGAGCAAGTAGACTGAAAACCACTTGGGGTTCCTCCAAAAACAACAGGTCATTGTAGCTGACCACATTAAATGTTCTAAGGCTCACTGGGGTGGAGAGGCTGCTTGTAGGAGGTTTATTGGACTGGTTCTGGCTCCAGTCCTCTATTTGGGAAAGGAACCTATTAAAGAACAAGGAGTGGCTCTGATGAATAAAATAATAAAGGGGGCATGGGAGCATAACCGTGAGGTGTGGGAAGCTGTGAATCCCAAGCTATAGTGGGCTCACCTCCCCATCAGCAGGAGGAAATGAATAGTGGTGGTGGCTTTCGCTCCCACCAAAGATGAGCATAAGTGGAGGGATTGTCGACTGGATAAAGGGACCCCTTGGGATAGAGTTATCTTGTTGGGTAGCTTTAATGCCAGAGTGAGTCATGATTCAAGCACTTGGGTGGAAGTGATTAGAATGCTTAGGCCAGAATAGCTCAATAACAGTGGTAGAAGGCTGGTAAACTTCTGTACAGTCCATGGACTTGAAATTAACAACACACTCTTCCAGCATTGGCACCTCCATACAACATCATGTATCCATGCCGGATGCAAGCAAGAACAACTGCTGAACTAGATAGTAATGAACAGCAAATGTGGGTCCATGTCCTTTGATACCAGGACCTACTGTGCAGCTATAAATCTTTAGTTTTTATAAATCGTTGTTTATGCAACTGCATCACAAATGCAACTATGGAGGCGCATATATTAAATTTTCAGCCAATTAATTAATGTTTATACATATGGGAGGAATCCAGAGCACTCGGAGGTAGCAACACTATCCCAAATGGGACATAGTGTATCACCATCTGACCAGCCAGGGTATGGCACCTTGATACCCATGGGAAGTTTCTCAACATTTGTGTGATCCACCAATCTTAATCTCCACAGATCTGCATTACACCACTTGGCCTGATATGTAAACAGACTATTGGCTTGACATCTGTAAGATGCACCTGCCATTCTTCCACTGCGGTGGTGGTTGCATTGGGTACGCAGTTCAGACCTCCTCAGAAACCATGGCTGATGGAGCAAGTGTTCTCGCAATCTGAAAGTGGCAGGCCTGCTGTCACCATCTACATCACCCCACATCTGAGAATGAGACTTACTGCAGCCTATTTTCAGAGGTTTGGAAAGCCATGCAGTGCCGCAATGATGAGTGGTAGTCACAAGTTTGTGTAGAGATGGAAACTACCTCAGCAGCTCGGGATCACAAATCACTCTTTAATTCCATCAAAAAAGTTACTTGCAACACCACACCTCTTACTAGGAAACAGTGGTGACCTGCCCTCTGGCCCGTTAAGAACATGTTTGCAGTTTTGCTGATATTTTTTATGATAACAGCATTTGACAAGGTAGGGTTGACTCTGCTTGGATTAATCTTCTTTGGTTCTTTCGGTAAAGTCACATAGAATGAAAATAAAATAATAAATTGATCAAATAAAATAACACAATAAAATTCTCACGACGTTTCGGCCACAACACAAGCGGCCTTCATCAGGTGAAGGGACGAGACTGTCTGGAGGACAGCGCTGGAGCGAACAAAGCCACGCTCAGATCGCGACCTTTAAGCTGTGTGAGAAGAAACAAAGCACCTTGACAAAGGAATTAGCATAGAATTTAGCATTGAAATAGGCGCTTTGTTTCTTCTCACACAGCTTAAAGGTCGCGATCTGAGCGTGGCTTTGTTCGCTTCAGCGCTGTCCTCCAGACAGTCTCGTCCCTTCACCTGATGAAGGCCGCTTGTGTTGTGGCCAAAACGTCGTGAGAATTGTATTGTGTTATTTTATTTTATCAATTTATTCTTTTATTCTCATTCTACGTGACTTTACCGAAAGAACCAAAGAAGATGAATCCTTGCAGTCACGAAAGCTTTAAATCTGCTTGGATTGCTGAGCCTGAAAAATAGTGACGTGTGTACATACACACATACAAGTGTACATACAGTGAAGGAAAAAAGTATTTGATCCCCTGCTGATTTTGTACATTTGCCCACTGACAAAGAAAGGATCAGTCTATAATTTTAATGGTAGGTTTATTTGAACAGGGAGAGACAGAATAACAACAACAAAATCCAGAAAAACGCATGTCAAAAATGTTATAAATTGACTTGCATTTTAATGAGGGAAATAAGTATTTGACCCCTCTGCAAAACATGACTTAGCACTTGGTGGCAAAACCCTTGTTGGCAATCACAGAGGTCAGACGTTTCTTGTAGTTGGCCACCAGGTTTGCACACATCTCAGGAGGGATTTTGTCCCACTCCTCTTTGCAGATCTTCTCCAAGTCATTAAGGTTTCGAGGCTGACGTTTGGCAACTCGAACCTACAGCTCCCTCCACATATTTTCTATGGGATTAAGGTCTGGAGACTGGCTAGGCCACTCCAGGGCCTTAATGTGCTTCTTCTTGAGCCACTCCTTTGTTGCCTTGGCCGTGTGTTTTGGGTCATTGTCATGCTGGAATACCCATCCACGACCCATTTTCAATGTCCTGGCAGAGGGAAGGAGGTTCTCACCCAAGATTTGACGGTACATGGCCCCGTCTATCGTCCCTTTGATGCGGTGAAGTTGTCCTGTCCCCTTAGCAGAAAACACCCCCAAAGCATAATGTTTCCACCTCCATGTTTGACGGTGGGGATGGTGTTCTTGGGGTCATAGGCAGCATTCCTCCTCCTCCAAACACAGCGAGTTGAGTTGATGCCAAAGAGCTCCATTTTGGCCTCATCTGACCACAACACTTTCACCCAGTTGTCCTCTGAATAATTCAGATGTTCATTGGCAAACTTCAGACGGGCATGTATATGTGCTTTCTTGAGCAGGGGGACCTTGCGGGCACTGCAGGATTTCAGTCCTTCACGGCATAGTGTGTTACCAATTGTTTTCTTGGTGACTATGGTTCCAGCTGCCTTGAGATCATTGACAATATCCTCCCGCGTAGTTCTGGGCTGATTCCTCACCGTTCTCATGATCATTGCAACTCCACGAAGTGAAATCTTGCATGAAGTCCCAGGCCGAGGGAGATTGACAGTTATTTTGTGTTTCTTCCATTTGCGAATAATCGCACCAACTGTTTTCACCTTCTCACCAAGCTGCTTGGCAATGGTCTTGTAGCCCATTCCAGCATTGTGTAGGTCTACAATCTTGTCCCTGACATCCTTGGAGAGCTCTTTGGTCTTGGCCATGGTGGAGAGTTTGGAATCTGATTGATTGCTTCTGTGGACAGGTGTCTTTTATACAGGTAACAAGCTGAGATTAGGAGCACTCCCTTTAAGAGTGTGCTCTTAATCTCAGCTCGTTACCTGTATAAAAGACACCTGGGAGCCAGAAATCTTTCTGATTGAGAGGGGGTCAAATACTTATTTCCCTCATTAAAATGTAAATCAATTTATAACATTTTTGACATGCGTTTTTCTGGATTTTTGTTGTTGTTATTCTGTCTCTCACTGTTCAAATAAACCTACCATTAAAATTATAGAATGATCATTTATTTGTCAATGGGCAAACGTACAAAATCAGCAGGGGATCAAATACTTTTTTCCCTCATTCTACACAAATACAAAGATCTCCCGTATAGCCTGTAACACTGTTGGGGCAAGTGCTATTAGCGAGTAACACGTGGGAAAGCCGGCACGGCACACGAGGGGGTGGGTGGCCAGCACCACTCCCGGCCGCCTTTGTCTCCCCAGTGGCAATATTTACACACTGCACCAGTTACTAATTTGAGGCTAAGTCGACCTAGGGGTGGCCCAGGACCGGTTCAGATAATCGTCACCAGTGTTGGTGGCCATCAGCAGGAATCGAACTCGGGTCGCCGGGTTTGTAGCACAGCTCGCTAACCGCTACACTACTGCTTCCGACACACGAGTGCACACACGCACACGAGTGCACATGTACGTGTGTGCATACACAAACACGTGTGTACATATACACATGAGGTCAGGCTCGCTTGAGCGCTGGTGGTCCAAGATTTCAGTAACAAGAGAGAATTGAGTTCCTGTGCAAAGCGATTGTTTTGCAAACAGATGTTCACCTGCTAAGGAAATGTAAAACATGATCCAAAGCCTGAGACCAGGCAAAGTGCCAGGCAGAGATTACCTTCCAAGTGATCCGTTCAAGGAGGGTGGTGACTGTGTGTAGACTGCCTCTATGTTATTACATCTGCCTGGACCACAGGATGGTTTCTGCAGCATTGGATCGATACACTTGTAGGCAGGGGCGGAGCCAGGATTTTGACTTTGGGGGGGCTGACTCCAATATTCTGAGATATCCAGTGTAAGTTTTCCAATGAGCGCCACAAATGTATAAAACACATTTGATTGGATTTGAACGTGGAGTTTATTAATAGGTCAGAGCCGCTGATGTGGCTAATAAGTTCTATAAGTTCGAAAGGCTGCCGCTCAAGCAGCCTGCAGAGCAGCACAAGGTGGCAGCCAGCATTTTGCAGCAGCCGGATATCCGGTTATCCCGATTACCGACTTTTTCAAAATTTCAGCGGGGGCTAAGCCCCCCCCAGCCCCCCCTGTGGCTCCACCTGTGCTTGTAGGTCCCCCTTTATTAAGAAGGGGGTCACAGTAATTGTCTCCTCAGTGTGCCAGGAACGGTCCTGGGAAGAATTATTGAACATTGCCTTGCCATGCACGCTAAGAAGCTTGAGCGCACTGTGGCCAAACTACTGTGTTCTTTTCTTTAAATTGTTCAAAATGTTTTAGTAAATCATTGCATTTAAAATAAAATGTTATTCCCTAATTCGTTGGCAACGTTATCGTGAAACAATGTAAATAGAGGACTTATTTTTACTTACTTGTAACCATACATCTCCGGCTGTGAAAAACAATTTTCAGTTTGTCGCCAATATCAGCGATTACATGTGTATAGAAACCCCTCACGATTGACATGGCATGGGGAGGCCTTCATCCATGAATGGATTAACAAGGTTTGAGATATCGTTTGTATTAATATGTACGTGTGAATTTTGTTACTTTCAGAAGCTGTTATATATTTGTGATTGTGCCTATTTATCAAGCCTTGAGGCTTTCTTATTCAGACGGTGAATCGATACTTGCTTGTGTCTCACAGGGTCCTTGATCAGCCAGGAAACACTCGCAGCGCCAGCAGAAGGTGCAAATACGACGGCCTCACTGTTATGGATGAATCTGAGGGCGAGAGCTCACTGCTAGTGCGCCTCTGTGGGTATCTACCCCGCCAGTCTTTTCAATCCACTGGCAACCTAAGCTTGCAGTTCTCCTCTGATGGCACCGGGACCGGCAGAGGATTTTACATTTCATTGGGGTACTTTGGTAAGGAAATCACCACGCTTGTCACACCAAACATATTGTGTAGAGGCAGTGTTAGTTGTCAAGTGGCCAATTACTGAAAGATAGTGGCACTCATCTCTGTTTCTGGTGGAAATTCCAACTGGTATGTATGTTGACCTTTTTTCGCACCGTATGTAGACAATCGTGCTAATCGGACCATCGTATGGTCTAATTTCTCCATACCCTTAAGATCGTTGATGTCTTACAAAGTGTTGCTTATTTTATTTACCATGTCACCTGGCCATTCTCCCTCGAGCAAGGGCAAAGTGTCTGGAGCTCCGGGTTGCCCCTCTAAGGGTTTATCCCTGAGGGGGGCAGCCACGTCTTTGGGAGCTTGGGAAGTGCTAGGCTGCCTGTTACATCGCCAGAGCCGCTATTTTTTCCCACGGATTTTTTTGCCCCCCCCCCTACTATCCTTTTACTTCAACAATAACTATGTTCTTCAGTTCCTATAACAATTTAACTACCCCTAGAGTACCAGACACATTCTTACTCGGACACAGAACTGTTTCAACATGAAAGGATCTTCCAGACAGACTAAAGTATACCTCCAGTCTCAAATTCTATAAACCGCTCATAAAAAAATATACTTGCACAACATTGGCAACTGTTATAGCTAGAAGAGCATTTTACATAAACCTGTGGTGTGCGACACTGAGTTATTTATATATGTAGTGTGTTCTTTTTATGGAGACGGAGACGATAATGTAGAGGCAACCCTGTGTTTCATTTATATTGTTATAATAACTCTCTTACGCCCCCTAGCTAGGAAGGTACAGCCTTTGGGCTATTGTGACTTAACACTGCCCCCTGCTGGCTTCCCGCCTTCCGGCTATCGATGACCTAGGGGAGGCTATCCTGACCAACCCTGGTACGGTACTGGTCCGACTCTGGTCCAAGCTCGACCCGGCCCTTATAAGGGCAGCGGGCTCGAGGTTCCAGGGTCCTAGACTAGCTGGCCTTCAGTCTTCGGTCTTCAGTCTTCAGCTGCAACTGCCTCTAACCTCTCCAGAGGCCCTCCTTATATACAGTTTCTATCCGAGGGGCAGGGCTCTGTGGGATCGTAGAACACCCCACAGCCCCACCCGTTGGGAGGGGTCTCCGGGGGATTGTAGAACACCCCACAGCCCCTTCCCGTTGGGAGGGGTCTCCGGGGGATCGTAGAACACCCCACAGCCCCACCCGTTGGGAGGGGTCTCCGGGGGATCGTAGAACACCCCACAGCCCCCACCCGTTGGGAGGGGTCTGCGGGGGGTCGTAGAACACCCCACAGCCCCACCCGTTGGGAGAGGTCTGCGGGGGATCGTAGAACACCCCACAGCCCCCACCCGTTGGGAGGGGTCTGCGGGGGATCGTAGAACACCCCACAGCCCCCACCCGTTGGGAGGGGTCTCCGGGGGGTCGTAGAACACCCCACAGCCCCCTCCCGTTGGGAGGGGTCTGCGGGGAATCGTAGTACACCCCACAGCCCCCTCCCATTGGGAAGGGTCTCCGGGGGATCGTAGAACACCCCACAGCCCCCACCCGTTGGGAGGGGTCTCTGGGGGATTGTAGAACACCCCGCAGCCCCCTCCCCCCAGGCTAGGAATCCTAACGGTTTTTCCCGCTATTTCAGTTGTACCGCCCCTGATGGGCACTGTCCGCCATTGCGGATATTTGCAGCCCATTTACGGCGCTACATCTACACAAAAAACCTTGCCCATTGCGAGTTTTCCCATCACGGATTGGACCATTCGCACAAAATCTACTGAGGTTACGGTTCACCGATTGCTCCCCTGTTGGCTGACCATTCGCGTGTTTGACCACGATATTCCTTATACAGTATACACATTCAGTTTAACACGTAGGCTTTCGCGACCAATATTATTCATAATAAAGGTTTTTGGGTTAGATCGCGTTTATTTATAAATGTGTCGTAACCCTCCACCACCCGACACGGCCAATCAGCAAAAAAAGTGTCACGTTGACAAAAAGACAAATAGTTCACTACTTTAGCCCACCGGTGTGTTGAAGAGTGAATCCACATTTACAGTTTGAGTACGACGTTTCGCTGGTAAATACATCCAGCATCATCGGGCAATTCGCCAGAATGGTAAAGCCCTCGCTTGCTCCCGGTTTTATATAGAGCAGCAGGGTGACATCATCACTTAACTCATATCAGGTGCAGTGATTAGAGGCGGAGGGGGGGTATTGTAAGGCAGTACTAGACATGTACTATAACTGCACTTTGCTCGCATAGTCATAATGACTATAGCATGGTCATAATGCAACACAGGACACAGCAGCGCACCTTGGCTGTTTTTCTTCTTTTTCTGTGTTCCCAGCCCCCCTCCTCCTCTGGAGGTGGGGCTGGTAACATGCTAACTCACATGTTAACTCCGTCCACACGGTCCTAGCTTGACAGTGTTCATTCAAGCTCTGTCTTCTGGACAGACCTGTTTCTTCACCTGAAGAAGGCCACTTGTGTTGTGGCCGAAACGTCGTGAGAATTTAATTTTATTATGTTTTATTTTTATTATTTTATTTCCATTCTACGTGACTTTACCGAAAGAACCAAGGAGATTAATTAACCTTGTCTTTATTTTCAGGTTTACATATACATGTACTGTACACTCCATTTATTTTTCCTTTTATACATTTACTGTACAAATTATGATTTGAAGCTTTCGTGACTGCAGGAATCCATACTCTTTGGTTCCAAAGAGTATGTACAAATTATATTTAACACTAGAGGGAATAACATTTCTCGTTTCATGTTTGGGTTAATGTAGGCTAACATAAAACAAAAGGACTGGTATCGTATTTCGAACCGGGAACCAAATCCTCGTTTTCCCATTTGCCTTTGAGTTTATGGATCGCGGATTTGCCGATTGAGTCTATTTTCAAGAACGTAACCCCCCCTTTCCCTCGCAATTGGAAAGGTTTTGGTGTATTTATTTACGTGTTTGGCTGGGTGTAATGTTCATTGGATAGTTGCATGCAGTATTAGTTATACACGTCAATGTTTGTTTACATGTCATTACTGTTTATGTGTCCTATATATGTTACAGTTGATGCCCTTGACACCCTTGAAAATGAAATGTTCAACTTGAAGGATTCTTCTAATAAAATATTTTTTAATAAGTAACTTAAAAAATCTACAAGGGTACAACAATTTCATAAAAGTCTGTTCTATACATTGGTACTATGCGGCTTATATGTGATAAACATGTATGTCTACTTGTGTACATTTGTTTAAAGCGGACTCACCCAATGCTATCTGCGGAGGCATCCTGGAAAGCTCACATGGAAACCTCAGCTACAGTGGATATAATGTGCAGAGTTGCATTTGGATAATTAAAGTTCCAGAAGGGAGTACTGTCCAAATCAACATTTCTATGTCCAGGTGAGAGGCGGGGTCTCTAAAAACTCTAACTGTTAAGAGGTTATAACTTTAAGTATTATGGGGGTTTTAACATTATGTTTAGCATACAATGGATATTTTCAGTGACAGCATGTTTACGTATTTATTATTTCGTGCAAAATTGTCTTCTGACTAAATCATTACACATGAAACCATTCAGCAATGAAAATATGTTCTTATGCCCATGAGGTACGTTAGCTTATATTATTTTTAATTTACGACAATGATATGAAGATGTTACATTTAAACTAATGGTCAGAATGAGCCAGATGGTGTAAATGAGATATATAATAGACAGGAACGTGCAACGTGACAGAACAGATAAAATTGACCTACTAAAACATTACAGATGAGATAGGCAATAGCCAGAAATGGGATGGACAATTCATTTTAAACTTAACAAAGTGCGGAATTGTTACTGCCACAATCTCATATTTTTTAGATCTTGACAAACTTTGGTTTTGCAATGTTGCAACATTAGCCAGCTGGTAAAACCAGAATGTTGCTGAAGACATAGAATGTGTCATAAATTGTATTGCTTCGTAGAGTAATCTATTTTTGTTGAAAAGTTTGCAGTCACATTTCTACTGAGTCACATATGCCTGACAAGTTAATCTTCATGGTTAATATGCAACTGCCAACAAAAAATTTAGTTAAATCTACTAAAACTATAAAGAGCAGAGGGTGGAAGCCTGGGGAATTTTTGGTGTTGCTGTAGCCATTGTAGTTTGTGAAAGCCATCGCCTCTGGTTTGAGCATTTGTGCTGTTTATATAATTTTCTCAACTAGCTGATGACATTTACTTAAGTCAAAATGGTTGCTCGGCATATTTTTATGCAAAAAAAATTCAGAATAACAAAAACTGACAAATGTGATGATAAGGGGAAGAAGAGAAATCTTAAGGAGAGAAAAGTATAACATTCCCATTTAGATTACGTTTATGAAAATATCCACAATTGCAATTGCAGTAATGCCCCTTTGCAAATAAAACTTCCACCTGTTGATGCTGGGGAGGGGCCATTTTCCTGATATTTTTTGTGGTACATACTAACACAAACGTGCATTCAAAAATTTGCACTGGCTGAAGTTGTGTAATGATTGCATTAATGCAGTTAGTTTGAAAGCAAGATCTAATACTGAAGCTGACTAGAAACCTACTATATGTGCCCAAATGTTGTGGCTGATCTGTAATATGCTCAGCAACCAAAGGACGGATGCCTTCGTAGCAAATATTTAAGTACACCTCACCCTAATGCTTTGATCAAAGCACATTTTACTGAAAAAAGTGAATAAACCACAGATAGTTGAATGTATTTGGTACGTGACTGCTCTTACCAATGAAAATCAGCAGATACTACAATGCTGTTTTGCTAAACTTACGACAAAAGTTCCAGATAATCACGGATAATAGGAATAATTGGGCCTACGGATAATAGGAATTTTCACTGACCTTTAAGTTGGTGTGAATAATAGGAGTCACGGATAATTTGGCAGCAGTTAAGAGGAGTTCTGTTTTTCTCCAGTAATTAGCCAACGGGGAGGTGGCAAAAGAATGATGTGGGTCCCCCATAGAGCCTGCATAGGCTGTTGGGGCAAGTATTGTTAGCAAGCACCTGTTAAGGCTGGAACAGACCAAAGACAAAGACATAAACACATTTTAAGGAAATCCCCATTTTATGATTACTTATTTGTATTATTAGTATAACTAGTATTACCATATTACAACGAATACACTTAAATTAAATAATAGCAATCACACCTAAGAGTTAAAAATACATAAATAAACACATCGAAAGGAATACTGTCAGAAAAAAATAAGAAAAGCAACAGCAGAAATTAGATCTTCATTTTGAAATGTTCTCATTTCAACAAAATGGTTACATTTTATCAATAATGTTCCTCATGATGACATTGATATCCATACTGTGCCATAAATATATATGCATATTTAAGAAAGGGTATAATAACTGTCAATACTAATGAAGTTAACGTTATTTTTCAGCCAAAGTTACAGCAACCTGGTGGTCTACGATGGGGAGTCCGAACTGCAATCAGTTATTGCACAACAATATTCCTGGGGACAGTGGACATCCTCTTCTTTCGCATCAACTGGAAACAGCATGCGTATCTCCTTCTATGGAACCTATATCTCAGCTGACTACGATGCTGTAGGTATGGATAACATAGGGACTGGGGCTATATATCTCTTATTACAGGAATAATGTCTATTTCGGAGGTAAGAATGTGACATGGGAAGGTGCTCGCACTACAGTCAAAATATGTGCATCTAGGTTTCAGTTAATGTAACATGTATAGGCAGTCAAATGCATTCACAATATATAAGAATGCCTCCTTTAAAATGCTTTTGGTAAAAATAAAGTTAGAAGTAATTGCAATACATATGCAGATTATGGCATCACAAATGCAACTGTCTGTTAGTGCATAGCATTTCTAGCGACTGACAATGATACAAGTTATATTTATGCAAAAACATTCTCAGTAATTGTCACGTTATGTTTTAGTATTGTGCAATAATTTCATATACTATATTTTGAACGTGTGTGCTCAAAAAGTAGTTTTCGTACTTATGTTAAACCCGATTTTGGTAGTTGGTCACCAACACGCTCCAATATAATACTATTGAACTTTGTCTTGCGCTAGGCACACATAAACTTAACAATGAATAATTTAGCTCTGAGTGCTGCCCATCTCCCAAAAGAATCCCACCCACAGCACGTGACCCATCCTCAGCCATTTCTCAGTGATATGTATAACCAAGTCGATCATCGATGGCACATGACAATCACAGCATATGTGAGAAACAAATGGGTCTAAGGATGACCAACAAGTTAATGATTGGAACTCATATAAACATGGCCATCATTCCTTGAAATAACAGAAATCTTTTTGTGGGAAAGGAGGGATGCGGAGTGTGTAGGTAACCAGCTATAAAAAACAGGTTTAATGCAAGTATTAAAACCCCGTTTCTTTGTACGTTGGTTACTGAAACACTCCAATTTGATATTATTGAGCACATAACAGAGTTTAGTCGAGAGCACCGCATTCCTGAACCTGCCCTCTTGGCCACCAGTGTATCGAGTCTATAGTGTATTGTGAATGTGGATCTCCACACTGCTGCCTTGCAGCCCTGCTGGTCCATGACACCGCCATAGCTCTCGTCGAGTGAGGGGTTGCATATCTCCACTCCACCACAGCTCGGTTGGTTATGTATGGTGCAATAGAAGTTCAACATACATACAGAGCCTGTTGCCTTATACGACTCCAGGATGGACTCCCGCATCCAGGCAGCCACACCACATGCGGCATTGCCTCTTCTCTGCGGACCATGCAGCACAAACATTTGATCTACCTTCCGCCAACCTTTTGACCTTTCCAAACAAAACACCCACGTTCTCACGGAGTCCAGCCTATGTAGTCTGGCCTCCAATAGATTGTGAAATGATGTTGGGTAGAAATCCAACAACTCTATCTCTGTATTTGTGGAACTCTGGGAAAAATCGCAGCGACGTTCGCAGAAATGTCCTCCCCTTTGTAACCAACATAAACTATAGGTTAGCCGCGAGGGCCTGACGCTTACTAACCCGCCTTGCCCACATAATCACGAGCAAGAACACCACCTTGAGTGTAAATAAGTGCTTTGGATACATCGCTAAAGGCACGCATGGAGGCCCACATAGCGTATCATGGACGAGGTGTAAATCCCATGGGCTATGCCTCATTTACCTGCAGAGCCTTGAAAGGATCTTGACCAACCCCACTGGTTGACCTTTCACATCCTCGTGGAAGGGCGAGATTGCGAGAACCTGGCCCTTCCAATGCCCATGCTATCAAGTTCAAGGCTTGATGGCCCTTACATCACACTCTCCTTTGGCTGAGCAAGTCCGGTCTCTGGAAGAGCTTCTAAGCCTCTTCCACCAAATTGGGCACCAAGGTGGCAAGATCTTAACTACCTCGCCTGGTATACAGGAGGTCGTGGGTTCGATCCCGACACTGATGCCTGTATATTTGGAGTTTGCATGTCTCTCCCCGTGGTCACGTGGATTTAATTCTGGGTACTCCGGATTTTCCCTCCACAATTAGAAACATGCATTTAGAGTATTTGGCTGATAGAAATTTCCACACGATAAGCCACTTTATTGAGCTATATTTTTTTGGCCGGGTCGCTTCTGAGAATGAGATATATAGCTCAGTGGGCTAAAATAAAAAATAGTTTTAATTTAAATTTTGATTTAAAGCTTTCGTGACTGCAGTAATTCATATTCTTAGTTCTTTCGGTAAAGTCACGTTGAAGGGAAACAACAAAATAATATATATTGTTTTATATATGTTTTATTATTTTGTTGTTTCCCTTCAACGTGACTTTACCGAAAGAACTAAGAAAATATAGTTTTAATTTAGTTTTAGTTTAAATTGGCTTTAAACTAAGATCTATTTGGTCAGTTGTTGGTGATCAGGATAGCCTGGGACCCCTTTCATAGTAATCGTATCTGGCACCTTTGGTATTAAAGGGAAAGGAGGGAAAAATACCCAGGTCCCTCGACCAGTTACAGGACATTGTATCCGTGGCCATGTCCCCTTTTTGGCAGACCATTTAAGCATAATGCCTTGATTTTGCATTTTATTTGGAGGCGAGCCGGTCCATTGTGGGCACTCCGTACCTCTTGACGACCTAATGGTAAACCTTGGACTGCTACCACCATTCCACGGCTTCGATTAACTACCCCGGCAAGATGTCGAGCAAGCAGTTGTACCCCATTGTTCTTTTCCCACGTCAGGGGTCGGGTCAATTCCCGCATCAGCTTGTCATACCTTGGTGAACCCTGTTTGTTCACCATGGCCACCGTCGTCATATTGTTACAGCAAACTGGCAAAAATATTCCTGCCACCTCTTCTCTGGACCTGGTCTCAAGACAGTGGATCACACTGAGTTTCAGATGGACAATACTTTTTTTCCTCTCTACCACAGACCATTTTCTTGCAGTGCTTTAATTCAACAGCACGCCTTCCAGCCAAACAGGCTGATATCCATCTCTAGTAAAACCTTCTGTCTGTAGAATCCCATCGAGATTCCTTCCTGCAGACAGAGAGACCTTAGCCACCATGACATATCTAGCCTGGCTAGTTCGTTCAGCTCCGCGAACTGCCACAGATCGCTGTGGTAAGGGTGCCCGCTGTCCAACAGGCACCACTGCAGCTTCCACAAGTGAAATCTGGCCCTTGGATGCATTTATGGCCAAGCCGACCTAGCCGGGTTTCATTACAAGTTAAGATACTCGTAGACATTTAAAATGTAAAGTTATATGAGCTAGAACAGAGGTCAGCAACCTGCGGCTCAGAAGCTGCATGTGGTTCTTTAAGAACTGCAGTACAGCTCTTGAAATGTGAAAAAAATAGCTCTTGTTATTTTGGTTGCTGATCCCTGACCATGGAAGTGTAGTTAATCATGGAAGTCCATACTCTTTGGTTCTATTCGGTAAAGTCACGTAGGTAAAAAATAAAACAACAAAAATCACGACGTTTCGGCCACAACACAAGTGGCCTTCATCAGGTGAACAACACTGTCCTCGTGACAGTACGGTCCCCTTCACCTGATGAAGGCCACTTGTGTTGTGGCCGAAACGTCGTGATTTTTGTTGTTTTATTTTTTTACCTACGTGACTTTACCGAATAGAACTAAAGAGTATGGATCCTTGCAGTCACGAAAGCTTCAAATCTAGCATGGAAGTCCAGTTAACCATGGAAGTCCAGTTAACCATGGAAGTCCAGTTTACCATGGAAGTCCAGTTTACCATGGGCAGGGGTTGGCAACCTGTGGCTCCGGAGCTATATGCCACTTATTCAGGACTGTTTCGTGAATTGCGGCTCTTGAACATTTTTGTTTACCGAATTAAAACAAAAATTGTCTTTCGTTGACATTTTGGTTTCCGACGCCTGAGCTAGAACAACCTCTGGCCCGGTCCTTATAAACTCAAACAACTGTATAAATAACTGCGTGGGCGTGTTCGGGTCGGTTCGTCCTGCAGATGGGACATCCACCTGGAACTTACAGCTCAATTATGAATTAACTAATTAATTTATACATACCCGGCATAGGACGGGGTTCGGTCGTATCTAACCAGAGCGTGGCGGTGACCAATGTATGAAGAAAATTACCTGTGCCGAGACGCAAATGTTATCATATCGTATATCCTTTTACTCTGATTCATTGGCATTAATTATCCACATTGCTTATGCTTGTTCAGACCATTCTAATGCTTGTTCAGAGCATTCCTATTCAAAGGCAATATTACTGTCTATTAGATATGGGCAATTGGTCAGTATCTTTGTCACAATTATTTCAGAATAAAATATTGTCATGATATTACGTGAGATGAAATGGGATCAATACATTATTTAATTACTTTGGCAAAAAATGTGTATTGTGTTGCCTTTAAAAATCGCTTTTAACCAGTGTTGTTTGTTTATGATTAATGGTTCAAACCTGAATTATGTTTTCTTTACACATATTCTTTATATAGGATCTTATTTACGTGACCTTCACAAAATTCCACGTTACATTATGCATTAAGAGCATGTTTATTTTACAATGACATTTGGTTCTCCACTCCTTTTAGTTAAAGACGTTTCATTTGACTGTGATTTCAATGGAAACTTTTGTGGATGGACACCCTCATCTGGAGATGTAATTAATTGGGACTTGTACAACACCAACTACTACAATCCTTCTTCGGGTAAGTAGACAGATCACCTAATACTTGTATGGGTGAATTTAGTGCAAAAGTAGTGAAAAGTTGCAGAGATGAGACATGTGAGAGGTCATAGTCGGGAAAAAACACGAATAATTAATTTACAATAAAATTGTATGTGGAGAAGCCCAAACAGTCAAATTAAGAAAAGGGTTGACTTGATTTTATCAAACAAACTGCAGACTGTCAGAGATGTTCCTAGCCTTAACAAATTGAACACAGGAAGTGGTCGCAGACTGGTGCAATCCAAGTTACACGTCAACATAGTCAAAGAGAGGGTGAAGCTAATAAAAATTTAAGATACAGTAGACTTTCTATTTTCCGCGTACGGTTTATCCAATTTGCAGATTAATCGTGCACCTAAGATTTTGACATAAATTAATAACTCGTGGATTTTCCGGTAAGCACAAATTTACAATCTAAAAACAGTTATACATTGTTATTCTTGGAAATGTTTATTACAAGTCACGTGGTTAATCCGAACAAATATCTGCTCTGGTAAATCCGAAATCCACGTGATCACCTCTGCAGTACAGTAGTTGCATATCTTTACAACAGTGGGTAGAGTTTTTATTATTTTTGGATTTTCCGCGATTTTTTTATTATCCGTGGCCGTCCTCCCCGTCATTCGTGTGGATAATCGAGAGTCTACTATAGTATCAAAAATATAGACCAACAGTAATTGTATTTTAGGCTAAACAAAACAAAACAGATTGAAATGCCGAGAGGAACAATTCATGAAATAAATGTCACCACTTTAATTAATCCATTATCTAGTACAGTCTGAAAAATCAAATACGTTTTGAGGAAGGTTAATATTAATGAGATGCAAAACAAAGGGTGTAATCCAATACACTGAACTCTGTTTAACAATTATATAAGAAATAAATAAGCAGAGAAAACTAAAATTATAGAAGATGTCATTGGCAGCAATTAAAGCATGAAAGCAGCAAGACGTTTGATGATTTTAAATTCACAAATGGTAACCCTAATGAAGAAAGATGGAATCAGAAACAAAAATCTAAAATCGATGTAATTTACCCCCAATTTTATCCTAATTATGTTGCCAGTGTCACATCATGACACGGGCACCCTACAATTCTAGTCACTGACTGCATATTCTCTTGTATTGGTTTTATCTTGTAAGTAAATGCAATGCTTTTTTGTATGGGAATGTTAATAAAAATAATGATTGTATTAATTTTCTTGTGCAGATGGGGGACCTTTTGCTGCCATCAGGACTTCATATCTCCCAGATGATGCCCCTGAAATGAGCAGTTACCTATTAGGACCTCAAATTATTCCATCAAACAGCACTCGCTGCCTTCACTTGCAATACATGACTGGCAACAGTGTAAACCTGAGACTCTTGGATGTGTCTGCCATTGGCAGTGCTGTGGGAGACTCAGACAATCCCATCCCTGTGCTCTGGGAGCTCACTATGTTTGATATACTTGACCATTATGGACAACAATGGCAAGACGTGGCTATTAATATTACAGCCAATGTCACACAGGTAATATAATATTTTATAATGATCATGCAATGATCTGAAAAACATAATAGACATGAAGACCATGCATATCAACGCAGGTCACTCGGGGATAGGGAAACACTTTATTTTAGATAAGGGAAGCAATCTATACATTCAGAGAGTAAATAAACAAGATACGCGTATTCAACCATATACCCAGCATTCCCTCATTTCTTATGAAATTATGTTCAAACATCCCCAGTGCATTGTCTTTGAGCTGTACGCCTTTTGGCGTCCTCTGGTCTAACACCGTTTGAGACAAGGCTCAAAAGCAAGCTTGTCTCTGGTGTGGACCAATCAGTTTCAAGGACAATGCATATATTATCGGAGTGTTTGTTGTTTGCATTCTGACCACAAGTATTGTGGTTAATGCAGACATGATTCCTTGTTAAAAGGTTTCAGTTTTGTTGCCAGAAAAAAGGGGAAAAACCTATTCTTATCCCCAGACACATTAAACAATGTAAAGTGTCAAGGCAATATTTAAGGTCATACTTAATAGACTAAACATTTTGAGGTGTCAAAAAGCAACATTTATTATGAGAAAACCTTAATTACCTTGGCAATGAGAGATATAGTCAATTTGACCTTCCCATTTCACACAATGCTGACTGGATAGCAAGTATCAAACCTCGCCCAGGAAATTAATGTCATTCACAAGCTTTGCAGTCACCGATTCCCTGGCTATTAATTTAACATGTTATGCAATTGTTTGTCTCCGCCATTAACTCCGCCTACCAATTCCCATTTGGGTGAGTGGACTGAAATGTAAAGTGGAAAAAATGTCACTCATGAATCTCAGAATGCAGAACTGTCACTAACTTAAGGGAATTTTTTTCATTTTACCACCAAAATTGTAAGGAATGACAGTGTGAAATGGTTTGGCTCGCAATTTTTGGTTCAATTAAAGATGAACCATTGTTCAACAAGTTATAACAATTTCATTCTTTATAATCTCATTAATAGATTGAGGTATGCCTATGTATTACTACAGTATACTGTACTACCGAACTTAAAAGGAACTGCAACTGCTTGTTTATTTGCAATTTTTGCCTTAAGATTGGAATATTACATGCAGTAAAAAGCTTAATATCTGTGCACGCTGATTGCAGGTAGCATTTCAAGCACACAACTACAACCGTGGTGCTTTCATTGGGATTGACAAAGTCCATATTTCTGAAAACGCCTGTCAAAGTCCGCCAGGTAATGTTTTTTTTTCAGATTGTGATATTTTGAAAAATACCAATACGCTTGGGATGTATGTCCTATCGTTTGGGTTGTTATTGGTTGAGAGTGTATTACGTAATGTTAGATGGGAATTGGTGGTAGTGTCTTCTGGAGAAGGAAAATTATATTGTCGATTGAGGAAAGTTTTTTTTTTATACAAAGAAATACAATGGAGCACATTGTTGAATTCCAGTGTAGTTTCTGCATTATTTTTGTTGATTTCGTTTTCGATCAATTGAGGAATTCAGGAAGGGATGTATGATGTGTGAAACAGCAGGCAAACGAGATACGCTATGGAAGGAGAAGACATGGAGGACATTGTGCAGATGAAGCGTATTTGTTGTTTAGGAACAGGAAAGAGATGAGGGAGAAGACAATATGTAATATAAAAGCCCACCCAGGGGTCGGCTAAGAAAGGAGAAACCTTAATATGAAATAATAGGATAATGCGAGCACAGACCATGGAAGTATTGGAAGTATTGTCAACTGTGCAATAGTTGCGCAATCTAGCAGCAGTGATGATAATTAATCGTGTTGGCAATGACTTCTTGAACTTGCCATTCACAGTTTGTATTTTTTTAGACCCTTAACTCTGTTTTGTGGGTTTATTTTAAATTCAGCATTAGGCCTTCCTCCGATTGACCAATGTGGTTGGAACAATACTTGATTTTCTCGTGAATAAAATTGATTCATAACTTCTAATAATATTCAAAATTAAATAAATTCAATAGAATGACTATCGAGTCTGATCGGGACCATTTTCTTCTCTTTCTACTTCAAGAAATTCCATTGAAAGTAACACCACTGAAGTCTATAATTAAGAGTATAATTAAAGAACTCGCACATAACATTAAATAAATTTGGTACTCGATAGTAAAATCAATTTGTGCGAGATCCACACATGCGCGCCAGCTATCCAGGAATCCAGGCAGAAAGTCAGACAGAATTATATATTTTTCGTGGAGTGTATGATCTTTGTATGGTGATACATTATGGAAGTAGTGTGGAGTGTGGGTTGGGGGGAGGCATGATGCACGAACCCGGCTCAACGCTGTGAAATGCGGGTGACGTCATCACGCAGATGACGTCATCACGCAGATGTGTGTGGTGAGGTCCCCACTGCGCATACTCACTTGCCCACGTGCCAGGCAGCCAGGAATCCAGCCAGAAAACGTTTTCTAATAAATTGTTGTGTTTATTTTATGATATATGCTAGCTTCACTTGGCATTTCATGTTGGTATTACCAACGTATAACTATAAGAAAGGTATTTGCGTGTGTTTATGATGAGCTTAATTATATATTTTTGAAATCATTCCTTTTCAGAAGAAGAATTGTGCGTTTTTGGTCTCGAGGGTGAGAACGGTACCATTGAGTATACATTGGCTCCTCAGAACAGTGACGCTTCCTGCTTTTGGGAAATAACTGCGCCTCTCGGGAAGGTCGTAAAATTGCAACTTAACACGGAAGGGTGAGTTATACAGTGTGATCAACATTCTTCTGGACTTGATGTATATTTTTCCACATCATGCAATTCACATCTTCATTAAAGAAACGTGTTTTTCAAATGCAACTTAAAGGGGCAAATGCTGCCATAAAAATTATGTGCACTGAGTTCCATAATTAAAACTTGGTTTCTGCCAGCATCACTTTATAACTTTCCTCTTATACGTTGCAGTCAACAAACGGCATCGTTCGCCTGATTGCATGATTTTGACATTTGTAAAATGTATGGGCGGATCAGAAAGGTACAACAGCAAAGAATAAAAAAACAATGGGAGTGCAAAAATATAGAAAAGGGTAAGCAAGTAAATATGAATAAATAAAATAATGATATAAGGAAATCTCATACTGTACCACATGCTTGGCAGGCATTCATGTTTTAACTAGAGAAGAATGAAAGGTTGTGTGTTAGGAGTAAAGTTTGGGTACTACCACCTCTTCTAAGACGTCTTGTTAGCATGGAAAAGTAGGCCAAATACCTTCAGTAGATGTTTTTGCCAGTAGTGGAATGAGCATTTACAAAGCTGTACCTTTATCTTTTACCTTATTCATAAAATAATTGATTACCATTATGATCGGTATCATCAGTCATAAAGAATTTTGTATTAGATCGCATAAATAAAATTGTCGTTAACCTACCACCACCCGACTGGCAAATCGCCTGATGAAACCGGTTGTAATCACCAGTGAAACGTACTCAAATTGTAAATGTCGTGGGTTTACTCTCCAACACACCGGTGTGCTGAAGCAGTAAAAAAATTGGCACGTTTTGTTTACGTGACAAACCTTACAAATTTGGCTGTGTCGAATGGTGGTGAATTTACGATACACAATTACGCGATCTAACCCAAAAAGTGATATAATTAATAACATTGGTCGCGAAATCCTGCGTGTTAAACAGCAACAGAAGCATCATCATCCTCATAAATTTGTGTGTGAAACCATTTCTTTGCGAGTTCTCAGCAATGTTTTCTGTGTACCACACATCAGAAAGTACCATATGAATAGGGCAGAATAGGTCGCCACACCCGTTCTGCACTCCTGTGAGTGACCAAGCCCTCAAGTGTAGAATGCTGTGGTTCCAGCACTCACTTTAAGCCATATTTATTTGAGGCGGAGTGGATTGTGGTTTGTCAGTGACGTATATGGCCCATCGTTAATTGCAATAGGAAGAATGAGATCGACATTCCACATACGAGGCTGTAACTGTGTTAAAATGAGGCAGAATGACGGGGAAAAAAATGCTTCATGAATGATCAAAATCAGAATTGTTACTTGGACTACAGGAAACCGATGAGCTATGAAGCTCTTTTTGACAGATGTCCAGTATGGGCGGATCAGCAAGTTACAACAGCAAACCGATACAAAAATCGATAGGAGTGCATAATAGATGAAAGGGTAAACAAGTAAATACAAATACATACAATAATGATATAGGTCCAATTTAGTTGCCCAGTATTTAAGATATTGAATAATTATCTAAATATTGTGGCATATCTCAATATTTGTACGTCTGATGAAGCCTGGGACTGATTGCCATCAATATTCTGTTTCTAATGTTGCCATCTTTGTATTATCCACGTCTGTATTTGGTTTTGTTTCATAAAGTGAATGCATATGATTATTTATTCCTTAATTTCACCTCACATAATTTCTAAAGTGGGTAATTATAATTGTACGGGTCTCTATACCCCTTAGCTTTTATGTCTCAATTCAACCAGTGAGAATCATTTAAAATCCCAATTCTCTAAAAAGTAATCACGCCATTTTATAATAAACCTATCTGTAGGTCTACTTAAAATGTCTACCTATCCCAAATGTTGTCTGTATGTAATGTTTTTGTTTTGTTTCAGAAACAACTATCCTTACTGTTTTTCCATTTTTGAAATTAAATATGATACAGTTAAACAGATCAATGCCAATTACAGAGCTTATGAACAGTATACATACTATTCATCCCATAATACACTGACTGTCAAAGTTCCAAACCGCTGCGTTGGGAATCTGGTCATTGGCCAGTTTACTGCAATAAGTCCAAGTGAGTATTGTATTATATTTGTTTAAGTTCTATTCAACAAAAGTTTTTTCAAAATAATTTAACGCTGATGACAAAGTAGTGATATATCCAAAGTGTTACCTGGCTGATTCATATTTGTTCCACAAAAGATGACATTCCTGGCTGCGGAGGAGTTTTGAAGAGTTCTTCGTATGACTATATTTTATCTCCAAACTACCCAAATGATTACAGCTACAACTCACACTGCGAATGGAGCTTTGATTTACAGGATAATTCGAAAATTGCGTTGTACAGCTACGTATATGGGTATGTTTATTTACAATAATTTTTGATCAACCTTATCATAATTGTCACAAACTTTCTGTGCTGATGCAAGTTGCTTAGTAAATGTTTGTAAACTTTGTTCAGCATATTTTAAACTTGTCAATGCAAACAAAATAAAAAACCTTTAACATTAACCAATATGACAGAATTGCACAATTTATCTTGAAAATTGCATAATATTGTAAACCGTGAATTTATCGCAGATTACTTTAACCACATTATTTGCCCGCACTTTCCCTGCAAATCCAATTTTTTTGCAGATTAATGGAGTTATGTGGCTATTTTAAAAATCAGATTACAGGACTTACCACTGGTATGCTGCAGATTATAGGATCTGTGATATGGTCCCTCCATATCACTGTGGATTATGGGAGTTCTGCTGTATTTTAGACGATTATTTCTAAAAATAAATAGTGCAGCTTGGAGTGATAAATTAGCAGTTCTAATGATCTCAAGTGCCCAAAAGTTGTTTCTATGTACTTTTTTTACCAGCATAAACCTTGTGATGACATGAATTGCAGGTATATTGCTTTTATTTGCAATTCAGAGGTGTTTTACATTTATAAAACCCACCGAATCATACAATATTCGAAAAAGGAAACATTGGCTGGGTTCAACCCTGCCTGGCTGGATTCTTGGCTGGCTGGGTTCCAGGCGGTGTCACGCCTCCCCCCCACCCTTATTCCACTCTGGTCGTGTATCCCGCGCAATTGAGATGGAGGGAGGTGTGGGAGGGAGTTAACGGAGGGAGGAAGAGAGAGAGAGAGAGGAGCGGAGAGGAGAGGGGCAGGGAGATATTGGAAGGGCAGGAAACGGTTAGGAAAGAGAGCACAACGGAAAGAGGAGAGCAACGGAAAGCGACAAGCAGTTGGAGGGAGGATTTCAGAGAGGCAAAGAGCAGATTGAGATGGGAGAGGTGTGAATAAGGAGAGTGATAGGTGCGAGATCGAAGGAGGGAGAGAGATTGGACAGAGGGAAGTGGCTGGGATATTGTGGAGGGAGGAGAGGAATATAGAGGGAGGGAGAGGTCGAAGAGGGGACAGAGGAATAGGGAAACAGATAGAAACATCATGGGACCTCGAGACATCGAGATAAATTGGGATATACGGTACAAAGAAGGAAATAGAGTGGTAGAGGGAGACAAGGCTCTAGATCAGATGAAACATTTTAATGGTTGGCTGGCAAGGGAGGGATAGATGGACGGACACGTCCCAAGGACATGTGGGTTGCTTGTGTTAGAAATATACAGTATTAAAAATACATTTTTCTTTGTCATTTTGTTCACAGAATGCAGAATTCCATAAACTGTTCCGCAGACAGTTTGGAGATTAATGATGTTATAAATGGAAGCCGCATATCCATATCTAAATTATGCCAAGGCTGGGAACCTGCATTAATTGTGTCTCGTGAGAGTAACATTGTGTTCACATCTGATTGGCAGAACGAAGGCATGTATGGATGGTTTTATATCTTCTTTAGAGGTATGTTCGTTTACATATTAGTTCAATCACTACATACATATTAATATTGCATTTATGTATATTACTATTAATGGGGCATTTGCTTGGACAGGGCTTAGTATGAGACAGCAACCAATCTGGCCTACCTACAAATACACTAAAAAGAACAAAAGTACGGTACTAAAAAAAGTAAACAATTGCAAAGTTAGAGCACTATAAATTTATAGTAGCAAGATTTAAAACGAAAAGTATAAATATAGTAGTTTAAAATAAAGGCATTTGAATCATATTTCAAAAACATTTATATTGTCCAAATTAAGCTTTTAACTTATTTTGAAGAGTAACAATATTTATAAATGTAATACAGATGCAGTATTGTGTATGGAGCATAAAAACTCAAAGCAGATTTGAATATATAGAATAATCTATAATATTTTACTGTATTGACCTTTTTGAATAGTGGTGCAGCAATATTCAGTGGAGATTGGTGGGTCACAATGAGATACGAGTTTGTCAGTTTGGTAGATTGGGGGTTGGTGTGATGAAATGAATAACAATAATGATGCGTTTGGTGATGACGATGATGACATAAGATGATGTTGTCCTACTCGAGGCGTTGGGGGGTTATCTCAAAGGCTTTCTGTAAATATCAGCATCATCAACAGTGTCCATGTCATCATCACCACCGCAAGCAGCATTATAATTGTTATCATTCTCATATATTTTTTTGTCTCCTATGCATTGTTCATACTATTTCCTCATATTGCTCATTTAATAATTTGCTTTGTATTATTTTCTGACTGAATATATTTTTTATACCTGCTGAATGTTTAATAAGCGAATATTAATTTTAGGGCTCCCTATTGGTTTCTTTAACTTCATTAACTTAACTGTAATTTTACAACAAAATATGATTATGGTCACCTCTACAATTTGCTCCACGATATGTCTTTAACTGAAAAATTGAAGTTACAATTACAGTTACCTGGAAATAACGCTGTTTAAGAAAGTTTAAAACCATGTCTTAGTCATATTATGGGTCTGCACTTGAAACTAAAAATATAAAGGTTCAATATCTGACTCAGGAAACAAATGTATTTACAATATCATTCAAATTACTTTCTTTTACTAAATAATACACCATCAGCTACATATCCAACTTCAATTTATGTCTTAAGGAATTCCCTTTTTTTAATTTAAGGGTACTTAAAATGTATATTTTTTATACATTTCATATACGTGTTCTGAAGTACACAATACTCTCATTTAATTTAGGAACATAATATACAAAAAATTAGAGTTTCTAATCTGGATTTTATTTTGCCTCAACAACCATACATGAAAAAAATGTGGATCAGATCCTGTGAGTTTGATCAGACCTCACATGATTATACATCCTGAGTGACGATATTGACACAGGTAACACTACAGTTGAATTTCAATACAGACCACGTCATAACTCATTATATTTCGGTAGAAGGCCAGGTAAACCTGTTAGAGAGCTCTAAATAAGCGTTTTTGATTATCTTGGACAAAATTGAGATGGATGAAATTGATTTCCTTCAGCCAATATGTCAACTTGGTATCTGAATTTAGAGCATACACTAACATGTCGTCACCTTACTCTTTGGTTCTTTCGGTAAAGTCACGTAGTTAGAAATAAAATAAAACATCACGACGTTTCGATCGCAACACAAGCGGTCGTCATCAGGCAAAGGAGTTAGCCAATAAAGGCAAACTGTTTATAAGGGTTTTGGGATGAGCGTAGCCCAAGTGTATCAACAGCACCAGGAGCATGGGCGGTGCACGAGTGCCAATTCAGCAACAATGTTTCAGTTATTAAAAAATTCAGTTGTAGATCTTTAATATGCACTGCAATTGACATAGCATCTGTTTTAGTGAAAATTAAATTTTAGATATTTATCTGTTTATATTGGAATTATTGAACCCTCCCACATTTTCTCCTCGTCAGTTTTTGCACCATGCAGAGCCAACTTGACAGGATGGCAAGGGTCAATCGTATCCCCCAATCTCACGGACTATGACTACAGCTGCAGTTGGAACATCAACACCCCAGCCGGCACAATCATCAAACTCTCCTTTGAAGAACTGAAGTGAGTAGTGTATTTCAACTTATGATTGTTGTCCTGTTGGTTGATTCACAATTAAATAATGGTTAAAATAGTAACAATAATTTACAGCTGTTGGCTTCTCCATGCCATGTCAATCACGGGGGTTGTTTGACAAGTACGGGTTGGTAACCAGGATTTGAACTGGGGTCACCAGGTGCATAGCAGTGCACTAACCATTGTGCTATTGCTGCACCCCTGCATCACAATATTAAGCAGGATATTCACATATGCTGCTCATGGCGATACTGTTGTATTGTTTGTAATTTCCTAGCACCTATATCACTTCAGATATAGATTAATAACTAGGCAAATCAAGGATGAAAAATTGACGTGGAGCACTTTTTAAAGCTGAAATAAAAAATGAGAAGCAGCATATCCATAAGTCTCAAGAAGGGTTTCAATTAGTGCATACTACTGTTGATGTCAAACAACGTCAGCACTGATTAAAATAAAAAAATACATCTGTAAAGTGCACGAAGAAGGGTAATTAAAATCTCAGTGAGGAGCACACGGATCAGGAAATAACAGAGACATCGTACTCGCTGTTAAGAAGTGTAAGTGCATTTGACCAGGCACAATTGAAGGAAAGACAGCCAAAGGATGAGCCGAGTGAGGCCCAAACGATGAAATCAGTTCTTCTGCAGGAGTGAGATGGATTTTAGGGCAATCAGGATTTGTTATTGCAAGAGGGCATTCATCTCACTGAAAATAATTCTAAGATTATGTATTTATTTTGCTCATTCTTCATATAGCATGCAAACATAAATCAATCGAGTCCACAATTAAATATTTAAATGGTAAATATATTATTAAATTCATAGCAACAAGTATATGTCTGAATAATAGAACATTTGTGAATGAGTAAATGCTTAAATGGAACTGTGAAAATTTGCTAAAAACAATGGTTGCCTCCATTATTGTTACTCAGAATGAAAGCAGTAAGGTTCAAGATTCTACAGACAATATTAATGTGGAAGCAAGAGCAAGCCAACTAGTCCTTGGCTGGTGCACAATACCTCGCCAAAGATACTGAACACATAGTTCACTAATACAAAATTAAAGTATGCTATAAACCCATAAACATTGTGAACTTTACTTTGCCATGCTAGGATCCAATATCATGCAAAGAAAAGGTAGTGTTATCTATGCCATGCAATAGGACACTTGTAAGGAACAATATATTGATGATAAAGGAAGACGACTAAGATGCAGGATTCCGAAAACTTAATTAACCGGTCACCTATGGCAGAACACAAACTTAACACTGGATATACAATTGATTTAGATTCAGTCATGAGCACAACACCAAATTGTACTTGCAATTTTTCTAATATTGTTTTACTGCCAAAAACAAAGATCAAGCCTTAAAAAGGTACCAATTGTACTTACAACCTTGGCTATTTTTAGTTCTTCTACCACCATGCAGGAGAAAATATAAGTTACATTTTATTCTAAACCAGCTTTACTACACAGCTTCGCCCGAGACTTGGATTCTTGTCTTGGATTAATACACGGCCTACGCAGAGGGATGGGGGGGATGCGTGACATCGTGCAGGCACACTGTGTGACGCTGCCGCATGCGGGTGACGTCACAGATGTCACGTCACCCCTCACTTGCAGTGCAAAATATATCCATTATTGCGCCCCCCCCCCCCCAAAATACAAAAGTCTATTTTTATACTTTTTGCATTGTGTACAGTCTGGAAGCTACTCACGTGCCAAATTTAAAGTTTGTTGCATGTTGGGAAGTATGCTAAACATTTCGAACAGACACACATTCACAAATTTCCCTTTTATATATAGATTATGAAAATAAAGATATATGGAACAATAAATACTACACTGCCAATTACAAATATCATTATTATATTTGTTTACCCATGAAAGCCTTACCGAGTCTGAAGACTATTTTTTCAGAAAGCTATTGCAGGCAGGGAAATTATGGTTTCTAATTAAGTAATTTGCGAGTAATTGTCATTTTTGGACCACGTTGCCATATAAAAGGCTTACTCTTTTTTAAAGAACGGCATGGGATCTGTATGTCCACTGTAATGCAGATGCCATGTATTTATAGTTAATTCATCCACAGTATTAACCAGGTCAGCCATGGGGTAAAACCGTGAACCTACGCAACACGCGATAAATGTGCTTCAGCTGGGACCTATCATAGTAATTAATATTATATTTTAAGATGTTATCAGTGTTTGATGTATGGAGGATTGTGAAATTCACATCACTGGCTCAGTGCCACATGCCCGTCAATGATTTGGAGGCATCTGTCATGTAGATCGGGACTTAACAAAATGTTTTCCTTTCTTTATTAACAGCATGTACTATTACAGCACGGTCGACATCTATGATGGAGAATCTTTAGACGCCCCATACGTGGGTCGCTTTAGTGGCTCCATTGTTCCACCTCCGATCCTATCTACTGGGAATTCCCTCTACATACGCTATTACAACCCTACTAACACACAGTCACCATTTAAAATCGCCTACGAAGGTAAGCGCAACATTGCAAGGTAAATGTAGGCACACTGTGTACATATTTACATGACACTTTGTACCAGACAGTGGAACCGATAGGAAAAAATATTTACAATCATTTCAGTTGTAGGTCGGGTTCTCTGCATTAGTTTGAATCGGTTATGCTTTAAAGTAGTTTCGATAGGTTCGGTTTCGGTTTACATTTTGCTAAACATCAGTTTAAACCAGTTACAAATTTCAGATTTTCTCAAAATAAGCAAAAGAAATAACTTCGGCATGGCCTAGATTGCAGGCTGCAATATAGGCGACATGAGATGTCTTTGTTTTGATGATTTTTATTTTTTGTATAATATGCGATGTTTATTGCCAAGCACAGATGTGTTTGATTTGCTTCAAAGAAGTCTCTCTACCTGTGTTGCAACTTGCACAAAATGGTGACAGAGCTACGGAGAAAAAGAGATGCAGAGACAAGTTGAAATGTGTTGAAATACTGATATGCAAATAGATAAATGGAGATGTTTTACAATCTTTTTGTGTTTTATTGCTTATCGTGTATGCATTTTTGCAAGAACTAAAGTATAGTATATATAATAATGTTCACACTAAGAAAAAAAGCAAAGAATGAACGTCGCACATGATTGATCACATATGCTTGAATCATTCTAATCATTGTGTTGTAGGGAATGCTACTAAAATGTATTTAACTGGAAAATATGTAGAGAATATTGATTATCTAATTGGCAAAATTTGGCGGAGACTTAACATTAATCAAGCATTTTGTTAACTTTATGCTTTTGACATTTTGCTGAGTAGGAAAACATATATTTTCTTCATATTTCACAGTCAATTAAATTTTAATGATTAACTGTAGTATTGCCTACAACATTTAATTGAAGTGGAGATTAAAATACATTTTATAAATGCTGGGCAATGTTTAAAAATACGTGTATATCTCTATCTCGACGTGTTTCCATCTCTACTTGTGTGGCCAGTGTTGACAACTCCAGAAAGCTAGATGTTGCGATTTTGACATTCAAAAGTCGCTGAAAGCTTTGTTAGTGATGAATATCTGAACAAGTCTTAGGCTTTCTCTACGTTATCTCAGCCTTATATGAGTAGCTAGTGCGGTATACTGGCCTACTACCCCGCTGTGTACTGTGTCAGCCTTCATAGGTAATCAACAATTTGTTAAATGCTATACAAGGGACCTATGTCTTTGAATTGTGTGTTGTATTTAACTGAATCACATTTATGTGTCTATAGGGGCGCCCTCAGTAGATAAACATATATTAGGGTTCTCCCTTGAATTCGACACTGTACCTTAACATATCCTGTTGTCGATACTGCCAACGAATTATGATTAATACAAAGTAGAGGTCGTTAAAATGTTCCAAATGTCCCAATTTCTATTTGTGATTTCAGGTATAATTTCATTTACCACAACTGTTCATGTTCATCACAAAGTTGTGTACTTATTGTACCAGCTCTGCAATCAGAATTAATCACAATTGTCATCTGTAGATTGCTTTTTTTCAGGCCCCGTTTAATTAATCTGCAGCATTTGCAGTTTATACACGTGCTTCTATGCACTTCGATGATGGTAAAATATAAAACATATTTAGAATCATAACAACAATAACCCCCCTTCAAATTGCTTGGGTACAAATGCAAAAAGTAATGGCAGCCTATCTGTGCTGTGTTCCAAATAGCTATGGAAGTCTACACATCAGTGCTGGAGAACAACGCAGAGAGCATTTCATCATTCGATGTCACCTCACAAAGGCAGAACATATTCTTGTTCTCGTGGGAGCTGCTTGTACCGGAAGGGTTCAACGTCAAAGTCGACTTTTTTGACTTGCAGTGAGTAAATACAAACAAGCTGGGGTAGCTAGTTCTTAGCAATGTTGTGTGGGAAAGTGAAGGAGCAATGGGTGCTAAGAACCACTGTTTACAAGCAGGATGCCTTTGGATATGGCCTTGCTACATGCAATATTGCTGGAAACATAAATTAGGACATGGTTGAACATAGTTGATGGTGGGAAAAAGTCCATACAACTAAATAGTGTCAAACATGTATTAATTTGAGGGAGAGTTGACTAATTATGGTGTGGGATTCTGCCTTCCCTGGCATCAAGAAAAAGCTGTATAATTCAAGATTGCTTCATATAAAGTTGCCCAGTTACCATTGAGGTTTTTGATCCACAACAAACTAAAATGATTATATATGCTCCAACAACAAGCCATGAAGATGAAGTAGAACAATTGTATAAACATAGTAACTAGTAAATGAAGGTAAAACGCATTACATCACATTATTGGGTGCCTGAAATGCAAAAGTAGGTAGAAGATGGAAATGGAGGAGCCCAAATTTAGAAATTATGAATAAAGCTGTCTGGATTGTCATGGATAAACCCGGGATTGTAAAATATATCTCTGTCATCCCAAATTTCAACACAGGATGTGATTGCAAGCTGGTATAAAGCAAGTTATACTTCCACATTGCCAATGAGATGACATCTAATTACGGTCAACAAAAGACAGTTAACACTTAAACTTTGGCTTTGGAGATGAGAGAATGTATACTGATTCTAAGAAATAAATGTATATACCTGTGTAAGCAAAATTATTAAAAAAAGTTACCGATTTAAATATTGATATATCATTTCTAATACACTGAAAGTGGGGACCACTGTTAATAATAATGAAGATATCATAACAAGCAATGGCAGCATGAAAGCAAATAGTAGCTCTGAGATGGCAAGATGGAGATATTGATACATGACAGAGATAGAATCTACTTCTGTCTCCTCACCACCTTACAGCCCAGCAGATTTGAGAATCTCATAGTGCTTGAAGAATTCTGCATGATCCTTCAAAACACCAGATTACTTGTGTGCCATCATGCCTAGCTATAGTATATATTGGATCATTACTGTACATGTGTAATGACAGGGTGCCATCTGTTGACCAGGAGAGATAATCACGAGTATGGGTGCGTTATATAATAATCAACTAGAAGGGGGGGGCGTAACTGGGTTAAAGGTAAAAGGCGGGGTCAGCCGGGAAGCTCTGGGAACCTGCTCGAAGGTTCTAGAAGGAGGCGTGGCCGGAGGCGGGGCCTGGCCACGCCGGGGAGTATATAAGGAGTACGTGACGGAAGGTTCGGGGCTGTCGTGGGGTCCGGGTCCTGGCTACCGTCGCTGGCTTCGCCATCATCTCTCTCCATCATCCGGCCACATGGCCGATCCTCTGCATGGCTTCCATCATTGTCGTCGCTATATTAGTCAGCCAGCTATATAGTTAGACACCGACGATGGGCCTGTGTAGATGGGTCAGCTATGCGTAGCCGTGTTTTTATATATGTCGCTCAGTGATTATGCTTAAAGTGTGAGAAATACCTACTATAATCACCGAGGAATGTCCTTAACGCTCGTGACGTCGCTCCACATCGACCAGCCCCCCTCATTAATATTTATGACCAGGTGACGTCCTCCAAATGGACACCCCCCACCCCTAATTAATAATCATGAGCAAGTGATGTCACTCAACATCGAACAGCCCCCCTCATTAATAATCATGAGCAGGTGACATCCTCCACATGGAGCACCCTCCCCCCTCATTAATAATCATGAACAGGTGGCGTCACTCCACATCGAACAGCCCCTCTCAATAATAATTATAAGGTGACGTCCTCCAAATGGACAACCCGCCCCCCCCCCCCCATTCATAATAATTAGCGGCTGACGTCACTCCACATGGGCCGAGTCGCCTCCTCTCCCCTCCTCGGCGTCAACTTACAACTCTCACGACAAAGGCAGAACCCTCACCTCGCGATCTCCGTAACGCTGTTGAGACATCAAAGTAAAAAGGACGTCATGATGAACAAGGGATTATAACCTTTAAATGCAATAGGTCTGTGTCACCACGCCCTTACAAATTGCACACGCATTAATGCAATGAATATCACGTCGCAGTCTGCTTTTCGCTTGCAAGCTTCAGATTTACTGCAATACACCCATCCTTGGACAGGCAAAAGGCGAGTAAATAAGAAGCCCACTCCAAGTTGTGTCTCGGAAGTCGTTCACTACACATGCAATACTCCTCATATGCTTGTATCTCTCTGATATTTTTGTTACATGATTTATATGTAGACATATGTTCATAAATGAATTATTGAAACGCACACACACCAATACTTATGTATATCAATTTATCGTGGGCACACAGACTCGAGGATGACCCTCTCTGCTGGAATGAGAGCCTCACTGTCTATGATGGAGTAAGATCTCTGAACACCAGCCTGGGCATCTTTTGCGGCTCGAGCATTCCACTATCCGTGCGATCAAACTCCCCCAGCCTCCACCTGCTACTTCGTCTTCGTACAAACGAACCCTGTATGTCGAAATACATAACACAGGCTCCATAACATACATTTGGAGGTCATACTTGTAAATACACAATGTAGAAACGATTTTCTTCAATGTTTAGAAACACTTTTTTAATGGCTAGTTTGATACAAATTTAATTTATAATTGTCTAAATACGATCATGTATTTCTAAAATGAACATATTATTCATAATAAAGGTTTTTGGGTTAGATCGCGTTTATTTATAAATAAACGCGATCTAACCCAAAAACCTTTATTATGAATAATATTGGTCGCGAAAGCCTACGTGTTAAACTGAACATATTATACCTAAACGCACACCCATTATTACTGATGTAAAGAATTTGAATACATTTGTATTTCTTTTCGTGGTCATAGTAGTTTCTGGGGGAAAATCAGGTTGCTGATCTTCGAACGAGATGTTATTTCATCACACTGTAATGCTTATACTTTCTGCCCAAATGGCTGTTTGTAACCAATCCTAAAATTTAGTGAAGTCGCCAGTTTTCCAGAGTCCTCGTCAAAATGGTACTCTAAGAAATGTTTACTGCAATGTACAACATTAGCATGAATGTAAAATGATTAATACCAATGACATGGAGATTATTACAATGTTTATATATGAAATATGGTGCTATACATGTATCAACCATAATAATAACTGGATGTTTTTATTTTCAGGGAAAGGATTTACCTTCACTTTTTTCAGTGTTCCAAAGATTGTTCCCAAAGTTAAAAAAGGTGAATGTAGCATCGCAAAAACAAATAAACACTTTAACGTAACAATGTAATTAAATTAAATGTTAAATTTTGTAATGGTGAATCATAAGGGAGTACATGTTGTGGAAATTAGTGGTGGGTTGTGAAGGCAATTGCATCAAATGTGAACATTTTAAAACATTGTAAAAATGTGTCTTGCACAGGTATTGATATCAGCTTGCTCAATTGATAAGCACAATGTGACTGCTGGGCTATTAATAGATTGTAGAGTGTAAGATTAGTATACGCCTTTTGGCGTCCTCTGGTCTAACACCGTTTTGAGACTAGGCTCAAAAGAAAGCTGTCTCTGGTGTGGACCAATCAGTTTCAAAGACAATATATTATCAGTGTTTTTTGTTTGCATTCTGACCACAAGTATTGTGGTTAATGCAGACATGATTCCTTGTAAAAGGCTTCAGTTTGGTGTTTTAACATCTTAACACCTCTTTGTTGCCAGAAAAAGGGGGAAAACCTGTTCTCAGCGTACAAAAACATGTAATTTTTAGAGGGAGCTTGACATTATTGTTAGATCAGTTGATAAGATGTCGATTTATCAATATTAGACATGTGCATTGGTTTATTATAACTGGCTAAACAATTGATGAGACTTGCACAATATTGAGCGTTCACATGAACTTTCTGATCCAATCACATCACCCAGTCAATATCGAGCACCAGCTCCCACCACTACCGCTACTTGATCAAATCCTTATGTGCTTGGAAAAAACAACTGATTTTCTACCACTTGTTTAGAGTGTGGCCGAGTTCCTACAAGAGGGAAGAGCCGCGTTGTGGGTGGAAGTCTTGCCAATGTGGAAAAGTGGCCGTGGCAGGCAAGCCTCCAATACTACAGTTCTCACATGTGCGGAGCGAGTCTCATCTCGAAGAACTGGCTCGTATCTGCTGCGCACTGTTTTGAGTATGTGGATTAAGACCTTATGGATATATTTACGAAGCAATGTAGTGAAATGATAATTCCATAGTTGTAGTTTTCATTGCACTATTGTAGACCTAACATATTAGCGTTTTAATATACTTTGTTTTTTAATGTTCTGTAAAATAAGCAGATGTTTAAATCAACGATTTAGCCCATTTACTAAAAACGAATCCTCGTTGTATGTTCTACTATTGTTATATGATGCTTGGATGCACTTTTTTCATGAGTGCCTTGCATTTAAAAATAAATCAATTTGGTTCATCATAGAGAGGTACAACACAATGTTTGTTCATGTTTTGCTTATACTGGTAGGAACCTCCTGGTTACACCAGCCCACAGGGGATTATTGTGTCCGTCCGTCGTGCATCCAAACATGGGAGAGGTGGGGCTGGGTGGAGAGGGGAGGGTGGGGATGGGGTGGATGGGGAGGGAGGGGCTGGGTGGGGAGGGGAGGGTGGGGAGGGGCTGGGTAGGGAGGGTGGGGAGGGGCTGGGTGGGGAGGGGCTGGTCACCCCGTGTGCCCGCCCTCACAGTCGGGCATATTTGCGGAATACACCACGTGGTGCCGCCGTTGACCCTGGCCATTGACCGAGCAACCCAACGTTCCTACCAGCTCCCGCAGGAATTTGTTGTGACAATATGAAAATATGAGTATTAAGTTATCTAGGATGTAAAAATGAATATAAGCTGTCACACACAGTACACATGTTTAAAATTGAATGTTAAAAACATTGTGTATTGGTCGACACCAGCATAATTTTTGTGCAAAAAAAGAGTTCTCACTCTTAATTTCATATCCAGTAAATTTACGAATTACCAATGAAGCTTATATGTTTAACGCTTTAATAATAACAGTTTGGCCAGTTACAGCCAATTCAATCTGAAGACAGTATATTGTAAAATTAGAACAAGTATTTTATTTGCAAACTGCATGTCCATGAAAATGGCCACAAAGCTGGTTAATATTGATTTTACTTTATTGTTGATTGGAAAAATAAACTGATAAAACGTCTGGCACATACATACATTTTTCTCCGATTGGGCCTGACAACCTGACAGCCATTTCTGAAAGGAATAACAGTCATTGGATATGCATGAAAAGCTTTTTTCATGAAAGTTAACTTTTTAAACACATGATGCAATTCTGTCATCATGTGAATGCACTCTTGTAGTACTATATTGTGTTGTTCTTAATTTGTTGGCTTTTTTGATACACCCACCTTGGGAGGGGCAATTTAGGAAAAATACAATACTGTGTTTTTTAAAACTGGTACACATTTTTTTCTCATTGCCTCAAATGATCTTAAGTTTGGTCTGTCTCAGCATGAATTGCCAGAATGACATATGTAGTTGATCCTATTGGCATGTGTGTGCCAGGCAAATGCAACTTTATTTTTTTTAAATCAGTCAGCTCAAACATGTTTAAATAGGAAGCTCAGGGGGCTATTACCCAAAACAGAGCAATAAATCTGCAGGTGTAGCCCTGCTATTATTTTCTCACGCCACTGCTGACAGAAGGGCTTCCACTCGAGGGAAGTCTAGAGAGCCCTCTAGAGGGTAATTGGCCTAATCTTCCATGATGACCAGCCACGTTCAAAGAGGTAAGAGGACCCACACTTTACCGCACAAAATGCAATCTGCCAATCAACTGTTATATACCCATTTATATTACTGGGTGTACAGAGGTGATGGGATTTAAGAAATATTCCCATGAATTAACTGGCAAGCAAAAAGATGAGATTCATTATGTTAACCAGCACAATGTGGCAGCTTCTCTAAAATGTAGACAAATATCTGTACCTAGACAATGCTAAAATGTGTTCCGTTCACCAATTACTGCACCAAGAACGTTAATTTAAGCTTTGTTCATCCATAATTGTAGGAATAATGGATACATGTTTCTGTCTGCAGGGGAAGAAAAGACGTCAATGCATGGCAAGTGCGTCTGGGTGCCACATACATCTACGACAGCTGGAGCTCTGTGAATTTGGCGGTAGCTGAGATCATCACTCATGAGAGGTTCAACTACACAGCCATAGACTATGACATTGCACTGGTGCGGTTGAGCCAGTCTGTGGATTTCACGAGCCAAATATCCCCGATCTGTCTGCCGCCGGACACCAGCCACTTCCCACTGCCTGGGAAGACCTGCTACATCTCTGGATGGGGACGAACCTCCGAGGCTGGTGAGCTATAGCTTGTGATTGCAAAAGTACGTGCAATACAGAGTGCGAGTCATGGTAATTAACTGTTTCACAGTAAATCCTTAATGTGCAAATTTAGTTAATTTGTATATACTGCCTACCTGTTTCTCAATCCACTTCTGGATGACGGTCTCCTCATGCTGAGGTCGTGGGGGTTATTTGAATATACAGATAGTCCCTGAGTTACGATGATCCGACTTACGATATTTTTGACTTACGATGGGGTCGTCGTAACGCATCTCCATCGTAAATAGAGGACTAACTGTATAAAGCAACGTGCTGGTCATGGCAGGATTGTTGAAGGCCAGGTGCATGGATGTGGGAGCATAAAACAGTACAATCGATTTTGCTGCACTGTTCTCTACTACTGCCCACCACGTAGCCCCACAGCCGCCTATAAAACCTGGCATGGGTGGTGGTTGCCTGTCCAAACATTATCCAGACTCACCTGGCTTAGCTCTAAGCTCTGTCAAGATCTGGCACATTTCAGGTGATTTGATCATGGGCAAGACTATAATACAGTTCAAAATATGTTTCCATCAAGAAATTTAATATAGATGAGTTCACAAATCTTTATATATGTGCTTCAATGCGTATGGTACAGAGAGCATTGTGAGAGTCGGTTTTGGCCAATACCTCCTAAATGGAGGATTTAGAGAATCGCCAAATGCCTCGACCACATTTTCTCGGAAGGGGTCCATAAGCACAGACAAACCATCAGCCACAGTCACAGACGGAATCAAGGCATGCACCTTTGTCTTTGTCTGAAGCTGTGTATAGCAACAGGATAACAGATTATATGGCAAATGTTCAAGATAAAGAAAAACAAGTAACTTTGGGTTTGCACAAGGAAACACGTCCTCCTAATTAAAGGTTTTCTAAGGTTACAAGGGCATGTAAACACAGGTTATGATCAATGTCCAATATGTGAATTAGAAAGGAATTGGTATCACAGTAACACAACATTGACAGCATTATTCAATCTAAATTCAAGGTATGGTTTGACATATGAAAGCAATAAAAAAGTTAATTCTATCATGGGTGAAGGCACTTATGGTAAACTCCCAACTCCGTTCCAGTTAACCCAGAGAAATGCCTATGGCTTTGGAAAATTTAACTGTGTTTAATAATGGCCACGGAACGTGTCGTTATTGGCTAAACTGTTCTATAGGATTTGGGGTATAATGCATATGAGGTACTCACAGAACCCCGTTGGCCAGAGAGGGCTCTAAACCCTCAAGGCCCAGTATCATGTTACCTTCCCAGAACTGGGTTGCAATATCACAGGAACCAAAAAAGGGTTGAAAGCACAGTACTTTCGTGGCAAACTGCAGTAGCAACAACACATTTATGTGCATGGAACTTGGGTTTCCAGATCACAAAAGCAGAGACGGAGTTGTAGATGTAGAACTCTGATCACCAGATCACCACAGGGATGACCATTTTGCCATACCGCAACACCTGATCGTATGCTTGAAACAACAAGTTGCAGGACCACAAGTTTTGATCACAGGATTAAGACAGATTAAAAAATGTAGCAACCCTGCAGGCCTCGATTTTAGGGTCAATACAGCATTGATGAGGTTGCAGGTTTGCAGGATGTCAGAATGTTTTCATACACCAAGCAATACTTTCCAGGTATCTCTAGTAACTGACACAGTAATGTTGTCTGGGTAAATTTGACATATCACCAATAACTGACACTGTAATTCTCCAGACTCAGAAGAGTAATCTTCAGACATCTCTAAATGATGTTGAGGTAGTCCTCTGACTATCCGAGAGTATCCCAGGGCTCAGACAAGGTATTGCTTAGGGTACATGAAGAGGTGGCATGTCAGCGAGCCTACCGAGTTCCCTGAGCATCTCGATTTGGAGTCCACTGTTGTGCGAGTTGAATGGCTCTGGGGCTGGGTCATTTGAGTGTGGAGATAAAGGTTTCGCTATACCAGCTGCTAATAACCCATGTAGTGTGTTACACAAACCACATGGCAGAGCTATCCCAGATGTTAATTCCTGACTGAAGCTATAACAGAATTAAGAGCTAAATTTACAATGAGATGCAATGTAAACACCAAGTTTTTAATTTTGAAAGAATACCAAGCTTTAACTCACGTAAAGCATCTTGTTTTGTGCAGATTATGGAGTATATTATAATCTGCTTGATGCTCCAATGGACGTGTTCAGCCACAGTGGCTGCTCATCAGACAAGATGAATGGGAAGTCAATCACAACAAGGATGATCTGCATTGGACATCCTGCTGGAGGCATAAGCGCATGCCAAGTGAGTACACGTCAGATGTCACACTTTGATGGTGACTTAACATCCACACGTATTCTGTGCTTAATAGCAAATTAGGCAGCATTTGAGGATGCAAATACAATCTGCACAACTACCAATTTAGCTCGAGTCATTAATCAGAATTGAGTTTCCATTAAAGCTTAGTTAAATTAATCGATAAGATATGCTCGTCTTGCGATTTTTTTTACGATCTGATGCTAATACTTTCATTCAGTTCTTTGAAAAAGTAAACAATTACCCCTAATATTGTGGCTGATGGTTAGGCATTAAAAACAATATTCCACGTGTAATAAAGGCGTGAGTTGTGCTAAGCTCATCCTATCTCTGTCGCCGGCTGCAGGGAGATTCCGGGGGCCCACTCACCTGCCAGGGCACGGATGGGACCTGGTATTTGAGCGGCGTCACCAGCTGGGGCAATGGGTGTGCACGGCCCATGAAACCTGCCGTCTACACCAAGACGAGCAAGTTCCTGAATTGGATCAAGCAGTACACAGGCCTGTGAGGCTCAGTTTTCATTGTTGTATTTTTAACAAGTCTCCAATACAGTCAGAAATAAATAAGAGTTATGTGTACATTCATTTGAAATTACTATCTGATAATACCATTGGGTAACAAAACATTGTTCACATTTATGGCATTGTACACAATATTTGAATAATTACACTAAGTTTTGAACCACCACATTGAGGTAATGAAACCCTTCCAGGTATAGGCTCTCCTGTACTCATTTTTAAGACTGCAGATAGTTGAACCTATCACAGTGCATTGCAATGGAATACAATATGAATTTGGAAAGCATCTGTGATTGCATTGAATATGCCGTGAAAGACGTATGCAGAATAAAATAATGAGGAATAGGTGTTTGTTAGGTTAACAAAATGTTTATGCAATGACTGATTTAAGAACAATTATTAACAATGATTTACAAGCCACTTAAATGAATGTACAATGGATAATGGCAAAATAAATTTCCTACTTTTCTATTTGGCCTGTATGGAATACATTTGAAACAACATTGCTGTACATGAGAGATGCTAGGTGAATACATTTTCTGTGTTGGTGTAAAGAAGGTTGGAGTAACATTCCTATGAAATAATATCTAAAAATGGGCATTAGTTCAATAAACTGAACTAAGTGGATCGAAAACTACAGGATACATGACTAAGCATCAATACATGGTTTTAGACATTTTAATGGTGGTGATATGGTTGGTAATGATGACGTCCACAATTCTTGACCTATTGAGATTGATATAATACACACGTTAGATATAAGGATGAGGAGCTAAATGGAAACCCAGATGGTTATTTAATCAGATTATTTCATTTTATGGAGGGACATGGGGTATTGTTTTATTCTTTATAATTAGTAGCAACTGGTATGTGTGTCAATATATATGCTTCGTATGTATGTTTGAATTCTTTTTCACTGTACATAGCTAATCATGCTAATCGGCGATGCTTTGTAAGCTTACTATAAATACACATGAGAATAGAACATTGTAGAAGCCAAACAACTACATGAGCAAGCTGGGTTTAAAAAAATGGGTATCTAAAATAAATCACATACATACTATCAGATTCTGGAAAATGTAAATGAATATCAAAAACCATTATGACTAACCTTTGTAGACTATGCAAATGTGTTGGACTTCATGGGAGTTATTGTATAAATCCAAGTTCTTACAAAATAAGCCCAAAATAAATCAATAAAAGCTTTAAAAACGTTACACTGTTTGCAAAAATTAAAGAGCTATAATATACATAGAAGCGAAGTGAGATAAGGATAAAAATCCACAAACATAAATCCGCAAACATAAACAGATAATATTAATAATCTCAGATTTGCTGACAGTAATTATGCAAACCAAAAGACTACTGAAAGAGAATTATAAAAGACGTGAATAAGAAGGCTGTAAAATGGGGCTGAAGAACAATACGAGTAAAACAAGTGATGTAACAATACATTTGCTGAACAATTGACTATATGTCGGAGGGTCACAACTAAGAGGCAGACGAGAGTAGATTGGAGTAATTTTGGGAAAACTAATTTAATATTGAGCAGCACCATAAGTGCCTTATAGAAGAGACTTTATTCATGAGCGGATATTATTTGGACATCATAAACATTGACAATGATGAAGAGATTTGAAAAAAGCTGAAAATGCGCAACGAAGCATGGAGAGGTGCATGCTTGAAATTAAACTGAAAGTAAAAGGAACATTGATTTGAAAACAAATGAATGTCGAATTGACTCTTAACAAAAAATAAGTGGGCTTGGACAGGGAACGTCGCTAGACTCCGATTAGCACTGTTGACTACGTACGGTCCGAAATAAGTTCAACATGCGTACTATATACAGTCTGGCAGCCATATGAAGTGATATGACCTCCAGAAAATCCACTGCAAAAATGAAGCAATAAAATCGGCTCGTGGTGTGCAAGTTCTGGGCCTAATTTTTCATTGCAGGACAATGATGGATGGCTTGGAGAGGCCTTCATTCAGCAGTGGCTTGATAATTGATAACCGTGACTTATTCATATTCTTTGGTTCTTTCGGTAAAGTCACCGTGACCTTTTAATTCTGTTTTACAAATGTTTTCTTTATAATTTCTGGTGTGATAATCAGTGTCATGTAATGGGTTGATATTCATTTCAATAAACGAATTCTACAATTATCAAAAAGGATCATGGATTTTGTCTATACATTTCAATAATTCAGTTACTCCATTATCTGGATGATTGGAGGCTATGGACAGTGATGTGTAGAGTGCACTTTCTACAGACATTGCTACACACCACCCATTGCTTCAGCTGGACATAATCCATCAGTTCCACTCGATCACATCATGTCTTAGACGAGATTGACACCATTCATCTTTATAGACAACCTTCAATCATTGTACTATTGCATTAGATAAAAATGACCAGCGCTTCCACGTGTCATATATTACAAGACACTCATCTTTGTTCCGATCACTTCCGAAATGTGCTTGTCTCCACATGAATATCCCAACGGATGTTAATTTGTTTTTTTTGTCTTTGCTACGGATTGTTTGCTGGCCGTCATATGCGCTACTCGCGAACAGCACTTGACCCCAACAGCCTGTGTAAGCCGATAGACGGGGGGTGTGGATCTTTGGTGATTGTTGTCGCTCTCACTGCACCGGCCAAACAGCTGGTGCCATGAAAACTACCCCCCACGCAACAGCCGCTGCCGTGGCGTGGCCGCTCGGTGCCCTTTGACCCGGGGCTTGCGGCAAGAGTTCGCGTCCAGCTATTTTGTTTGTAAAGTTATTTGTGACGTTGCGTCCATTTGCCACGAGTGTTTTTTGAGAGTGCGCGTGTAATTGTTCGAGTGTGTTGCGTGTTTACTTACGTGTTTTTAAAAGTTTTTTTTTATAATTCGATCACATGGCACAAACCTATCGACCCATACGGTTTACCCGTATTCTTGTAACAGAAAAATGTAGTTTTTGGGTCCATACGGCGTACAGCCGTTTCAATACGGGCAAACATTTTTCTTTATCTATTTGTTGTTTCTCGCTTGTGATGGGACTTTGTAGGATGAACGTTGAGATTTATAAGGACACGGGGTGACCAATAAGGTCTGAATTGGTCTGTAATAAGGTAGGGTACTGATAATGGGTTTACAGGTATGTGTTTGTCAAGTAATTTGTGACGTTGCTTCCATTTGCCACGAGTGTTTTTTGAGAGTGCGCGTGTACTTGTTCGAGTGTGTTACGTCTTTACGTGCGCGTGTGTATCGTTTGTGTTTTTATAGTGTTTATAATTCTATCACATAGAGCAAGCAGGACTCCAGAGGTCTGTGCCAATGTGGAAGGGACACGGTATAATCCAAATGTTTCTCATCCTGCTGCTCGGGCCTTTAGCCGAGCAGCAGGGCACCTCTAGCAACGGCTGGCCCTGCAGAAAGTCATAAAACAGCATCAAGCAGAACCTTGCGGGAGGTGCTGAAGAGAATGAATGATTTCATGATGCAAAAATGAATGAAAGGTATTGGTGATGTAATAAGGTACGTATGAGAATCAATCAAAAGTAAATGAAATATGGATAGAATAAGAGAAATTATTGATTTAGGTCGGAAAGATAAGACTGGGCGGTTGAGGCAACGAGGTGATATAATTCAGTAACATGAGGAATTAGTGACTGAGGTAAAAATGAGAATGAATGAGTTGTGACTGAATAAGAATGAATAAAGGTAAGAATGAGATTGAATGAGGTAAGGACTAGCCCAGCTCAGTAAGTGGCCTTTCACTAACAGCTCCCCACCCACCCAACTATTCATAAGTCAAGGATTGTTGAATTTCGTTCGCATCGTACGTAACGAACCGGGCTAATCGGAGGTGCAATTCGACCAGAATGCCAGGCCAGCCTTTCTGAAACCACTGAGGCGTTTGGTAGCTTTAAAGAAAAAGCACTAGATACAATTTTAAATAATACAACACTTGTTTATTAGGCTTTTACACTCAAACATTAACGCACAATAAATAAAAACACATTGTTAATTTAAAACAAGCTAAAGCGTATTCTCAAACTTAAGTGGCACTCATGTCCATTGGCAGCCCAGAGTGGTGAATATTCCACATTCCTATGGAAGAGTTTCTCTCTAAATGATCAACTCAATTTATGTTGGAAAAATAGAATAGCTTGATAAATAATTATTTTGTATTTTAGTACAATTATTAATATAAATATTGCTTTATTCTGCTGTGACTCATGTCAGGTGCATTTAATGTTTGGGATGTTTTAGTTATTCTGTACTTGGTTTTTACTTTTTCTTCAAATGTTTCACGGAAAAAGATCAAGATGTCATCATGGCCAAAGCTGTTGATGCCACACCTCACCAACACTTTTTACCTTCAGCCAATTTAATTAGAGTATACTTAAATTTTGATTTAAAGCTTTCGTGACTGCAGTAATTCATATTCTTAGCTCTTTCGGTAAAGTCACGTTGAAGGGAAACAATAAAATATATTGTTTTATATATTTTATTATTTTATTGTTTCCCTTCAACGTGACTTTACCGAAAGAGCTAAGAATATAGAGTACGTTTCATGTTTATAAAACAAGGTCTTCCGTGCAAGATATGCCTAGTTTTTGATAACATTCAGTATTTTGGGGCTGCCCAGGTGTCTTCCTTGCCAATCTGTCAAGCCTGGAATCTGCATATGAGAAGAATTTACCAGATTCAGTTGAGACCGTAAAACTTTTCACTGGACTCGGGAACTCCTTGTAACTATGAACTCAGGAACTGAGACTATGAACTGATTCACTCTTCGTCCGAAGACTCTGAGCCGAGGTCGAGGATTCTGCGACGCTGTGGGCGACCCTGACTTTTGTTGAGATCATTTTCTGGGGCCAGCTTTTCATCGCCCGATTCCCAGTCCGACCCCAGCATATCCACATCCCCGGGTTGAGGCTGCTTCCTGGAGGCCTGGGGCGACTGGACGCAACAAAAACACCATTAAATATCATCACCATGACAATCATTAACCTCATGACTGCCATAAATATAATGAACCTCCCAGTCATCCTCACAACTTAATAATTAACCTGTTATTCACTATCGCAAGCTATCAACATCATCATCACCTGATGATCAGCCCGGCGAGCCAGCCACGAACTGCCCAGTCACCTGGTCCACTGGCTTAGGTCTCTCTTGATCTCTAAAATCTCACTTTAATTAACATCCCCTACTTATCATCTATACCTACCTCTCCCACTTCAATATGCTCTAATCCCCTCCCCATGCCCTTAACTCCAAAAGACATGGCATTCTGCTGCGATATCAGTCAACCTCCACCCAATGAAGCATTAGTGGGCTTACAATGGGTGGTCGCTACTCTTTTGCTACTGCCATAGTTCAAGACTTTTCGTCTTTTACACATTCATGATATTTCTCTCTACCAGTGTCTACTTGCTCATCTGCATTGTTGCTGGCTGGTTATAGTGCTGGACAACTTTGATCCAGCACTTTAGGGAATGGTTGGTGGATCACGCATATTTGTGAAATTCATAAATACAATGGGCTTTTAGGTGGCCAGATGGTAGAGTTCGAAAATTATTCCAACATGTGCATGGGTAATCTGCTCTTCTCCCACATGTAACTCATTTATGGAATTGGCTAAAAACCCTCATGCCAAACGCTCCTGAAAACATCTTGAATCAGTGAAGCTTTCATAAGATAAACATTTATTTACATTACCTCCACTGCATCTTTTTCCATCACCTCCTCACCTCCCACACTTATGATATACAAGCCTCAGTGTATTGTGATAAGGTCGTATGTACTGTAGTTGTGGTGCCCTTTAGTCAATTCGCTGCTGGCTAATGATTGATTCACGTGCTGATCCTGGTGGATATTTTCACCAAACGATATCAGTCAGTGTGGGTTAGTGAAAGCATGGAAGTACAACTATTGATTTTGTTGCACTGCCATTTGCTGCCTATTATGTAGCACAGCTGTGTAGCCACCTTTGACAACCTGACATGGTGTTTATATATGCCAAGAACAATCCAGGCTCAAGTCTGCTTAGCTTCCGAGCACCTGATGAGATTGGGTGCATTCCAGGTACGGTTTTGTATACAGATACTTTATGAATGCAAGTGGAGCTGGCGGATTAATAGAGAGGATCATTAATGCCGCACCTTGCTTGGATTTTGTTTCCTCCGTTTCTTCTGCGGCTGCTCTGATCCTCTGGAGCCTTCGGGCTCCCCGCACCCACGTGCAGCAATGATGTGATCAAGCTGAGCAGAGAACTCCCGAGAACTCAGCACGGCTCCACGCTCTGGAGACATGAGCAGTCAATCAGATAAGCCTGAATCACTGCTCATGTGCATCATTCCACCCATTGCTATGGAATCTCTTACATCAGGGATCTTCAATTGGTTCCCGTGGGTCAGATGTGGCAATAACCATCCACACGCACACATGCTCATGCGCACCTGCACACAGACACATGCATACACTCACATACACACAAAGACCCCTCTTATAGCCTTAATATGAGTAAGTGGTGTTAGCAAGCATTTATGAATGCTGGCACGGAGGACGAGGGGGTGATGTGGCCAGCATCACATCCAACTGCCGTTTTTACCAGTCATATTGTTAACACACTGCATCATCTACTCATTCAAGGCTGCATCGATCAAGAATGGATCAGATATTAATTGTTATTGACCATCAGTGAGAAACACACTCTGGTGGCTGGGTTCGTAGCGCAGTGCACTAACCACTGTACCACCACTATGCACATACTACATCTGCACTCATTCCACACAAAACAGCTGCCATATGCCACTAAGTGACGGGGATTTCACCACAGCACTTGTGCCAGGCTAGACTTATTTTGAAGCTATCACATAAAGTGTGCATGGTTCGCTGGCAGGTGAATGGACAGACCCAGGTGTTATGGCTTGACTGAAAGAGATGCCTGGCAGATGCAGCACCGGTTCCCCCCGCTATGTTAATTTGCTTTTCTGTGTTTTAGCCGCTCGGTGCACTCCTCGTTGTTGTAAGCATCGCAATAAACACACGCACCTTGGCAGTGCTTGAGCACCCGCCCCCAGAGGGCACCCCTGCCAAGCGACGTAGCACAACCCAGCACCACCAGGTTCCCACGCGCCCTCGTCAGAGCCACGCATGCACGCTGCTCCGATTCCACAAATGATGATGAGGAGAAAGAGGAGGACGAGTCTCGAGGTGAACGGACGATGCTGAGCACGCACACGCGCACCTCGCCACCCTGAAACGCATCCGCCGTGCATACACGGACGGCTGCCAGCGAGCCAGAGAGGGACATGAGACACTCGTGCACCTACACGCCACACCGTGCGGGTAGGGGGAAGAGAGATGTCACACATGAGTATGACTACAATCAGGTGGAGAAAGTATGAGGCGATGGTGGAAGGAAGTGGTGATCATTATGATGATGGTAATAGTGGAGGTGGCGAAAAGTGGTAGTTGTGATCGTTCTAATGGAAGTGGTGGTGATTATTCTAGTGAAAATAGTGAAGGTGGTAGTGGTTATATTTCGTGGTGATGATGGTGGTAGTAACAAGTGGTAGTGAGGTGGTGGAGGTTATAGTTGAGGTGGTGATGTTGATGGTAGTGGTGGAGTTGGAGGTGGTGTCATTTATGACCATGTGGATAATTATGAGTATAGTAACGTGGTAATAGTGACCATGGTGGTAGTGATGATGTTCATGCTTATAATGGTGTTGGGAACAGGGAAATATAATCTTCAAGGGCAGATCTTTCAAAGAAATGCCTGCTGTTGAACAGGTCGTGATTATCTTTATGGACAATCCGAAAAACCATTTTTCTCCAATTGTGAGTATAAAAAGTTACGATGATAATTTTGATGTTGACTTTTCACGAAGTGGCAAATACATTACTTATCTCAGAAAAACAGAGATGATACTGAAGGGCAATGATTGCCGCATTACAAATGTGAGACGAGGGCTCCTTGAGTACAGCACCGGTCAGCCATGGCATGGTCACGTGGTTGTTTGTGGGAGGTGTGGATGTGGTGGGCAGTTGCCCTACCCTGGCAGCCTGGGCGCGGTAGAGAGTGATGACAGCAATTTCCTCAGGCTCTACCCGGCTCTCAACCAGGGCGTCAACCAACTTGACAGCAGCGTCAACCTCCGCTTTGTTGTAGTAGCTGCCACATGTGTCCATCTGCCAGCATTGAGAGCCCAAGGGAAGAGTGGAGTGCATCACTGTGTTCACTCTTCCTAGTTCCTAACTCTACCCCTCCTCACTCCCTCCTGCTATTTCCTCTGTCCATTGTATACTTCCTCTCTCCACTCTATCCCTCTCTATCCACTTATACTTTCCTCCTGCATTACTCTCTCCTCCTTCCTTTTACCCTAATCCCTCTTCTCACTCACCATCATATTCCTACCCACTCCTTGCTTACCACATTATGCCGCATTCATACTGCCTCTCCTCACTCCTCCGTCTCCCGACTCCTCCTTCTCACCTTCTCCTGCCCCGGCACATCGAGAAAGGCGAGAGTGGGGAGCCATGGGGCCGCACTGGGCCGCTCGGCAACCCCGACGCCATCACGGAGCTCCCCCTGGTAGAAGAGGCTTGCGGCGAGCAGGCTGATGTGCGGGTGGCAGCGGTACTGTGTCCTGAGCTGCACGAGGGGGTGTCCCTGGAGGACCGAGACAGTGCTTAAGTTGGGATAGGATCTTGCAAATAGCATCATCGGTATGAGCACATCATCGAGCACCTTAAGATAATCTCTTGAAAGCTAAGTACGTACCCAAGATGACAAGTACAAAGATCTGCCGTGTAACCTGCGCATATTGTTGGGACAAGTTCTGTGCGAGTTGTAATTGGCAGATGCACCAACTGTGTTCTCCACTGTGCCACCTTGTTTGTGTGTACTGCAGCTAAAAAGAGAGTACACATATACACGCACCCATATATACATACCTATTCATTCATACATATACACTCAGACTCCTTTACACACTCATTCACACGCAGGCACCTATGCACATTCAAACACACGCAGGAGTCACCATGTGTTTGAGGCGAGTGAATAGTGTCTGCTCCAGGCCAGACTCGTGCTCCGGCTCAGAGCCCTGCACCGTGGGGGGCAGCTGCCGCGGGTCGCCCACCAGGAGGAGACGCTCACAGCCAAACCTGCAGCACTCGCACACAGACACAACAGCTGCCATTTGCTGCTAAGTGGTGTTGACGTCACCCCAGCACTTGTGCCAGGCTAAGTGCACTTTGAGACCTTCAAGTGAAGTGTAGAAGGTTCAGTGGCAGGTCATGGGACAGAACCAACTGATATGGGTTAAACGACTAACATGACCGGCAGATGCAGCACCTGTTTTCCCCACTGTGCCATCTTTGTGTTTTTTAGCTGCATGTGAGCAGTGCTCCTTTGCTTTCTGCTGGTGTTGGATGATGACTGCATCCAACTCGTAGTTTCCTTCGGAAGAATCCTCCACAGAGGATGATCTTAACACTGCTGGTACTAGTCTATGTTAATCTGTGCTTGTATCTGTATTTGTCTGTATCTGCGTATCTATGTATCTGTGTGTGTAGGTGTGTGTGTGTGTAGGCTGCGTTCACCGTGCTATGGGCAGCAGGGACATGGGCTCGGTGATCTGGCTGCACTCATCGAGAATGACGAATGGGAAGCATAGACCACCCATGCTGGGGAATGGGCAGGAAGCACAGGTGGCGCCAACTACACTCACCTGACATGCACACAGAGACATAGACAAAGACGCGCACATACAGATACACATACCCACATATGAATAGGGACAGACACATTTATAGGAGTGTTCTCCCCAGCTATTTGTTAGGGCATGGTGCTAAATAACTTTGAGGGTGGGGGTCTGGAGCATTAGGTTTAGAGGCAACAGTAAGCCTCTTCATTCTCTGACGTGGGATGTTGTAGATGGTGAGTGGGCCTACTGCCTGGTCTCAGCTAGCTGAAACATCTCTTCTGTCAGACAGGTTTTCTAGGGAGTTCTGGACTGTGCACCCAATATATCCATAACAGTTCTGATCCTCACCCATTTCCCCTTGGCATCAGGAGGAAGGGGTGATGATGCCAAGCCAAGCTACAAGCAATGGTCAAATTATTGCTAGCAACTTTTAAGAGCGACTCAACACCCCAAGATATTGTAGGTTTGAATGGGGTCCTAGGCATATGCCCATCACTGCCAGTGGAAGAATGGTTGGTGCATATTCGAGTTGACAAGCTGATGGGAAGTTGGCAGATCAGCTCCATGGTAGGTCCTGGTGTCAAGGACATGGACCCACATTCATACATACATCCGTTGTTCTAGCACTATACAGTCCACTAGATGTTCGTGCCTGGACCCACTGTGATGGAACAGTGTGCTGGTAATTACAAGGCCATATGATGATATTATTGGCAATAGAGATGTGTTTCTAACTTTTGGATGAATAAAAACAAAATTGGGCCAAGAAAAGGTATTTTCTCATCACAATAACCAAGCTCAACACTGGTTATCTTCCAAGATCTGACGAAATCGGTTGCATTCCAGTTGATTTGGCCATAGGTGAATAAAGACACAGGGACAGAGACACTCCAGTGATGTGAGGGTATCTGGGCCCCACACTTCAGTGATGAGTGGGTGTCTGGGCTCCACCTCCTTCAGCAGATTGCGGTTGCGTCCCAGCTTGTGCGTCTCGATGCTGCGCTTGACAAACACTCGCTCGGCTGGGGAGAGCTCCTCCTTCAGCAAGGACTGTAGCTCCCTCAGCTGGTCACTATCATTACCCGAGCCGGCATGCAGGCTGGGAAGCAGAGACAGGAAGCAACATGGAGAGGGGGTAAGTCAGAGAACACAGGGAGAGATAGGGAGTGATAATTAAAATTAATGCAAGGAGAGAGGAGAGACAGGTAGAGATGGCGAAATATGAAGAGATGGAGAGAGACACGGCGACAGGCAGAGATAGGGAGATATTAAGAGAATGGAGTCATGATGACACAGGGAGATACAGGGTGAGGTGAAGTGAGAGACAAGATATGTGCAGACTGAGGGATACATGTAGAGATAAGGAGTGATAGGGAGTATGAAATGGAGAAAATGTACAGACACATGAACAGATAGTTATTGACAGATGGAGAAACACACCATGACCGAGATGGCGACAAACAGATGAGATGGACAGAAACACAAGAGCTATTCAGAAATAGAAGCACAAATACACAGACCCACAAACTGACACACGTATACACAGAGAAACTGACACACAAATACAGAAGCAAATGGAAACAATTGGCACTGTCATATCTGCATACACAGGGCGACTTTACAAACACACATTATACACACATTTGTTAACTAATATAAACACATACTTAAAAACACAACCCCCGTACCTTAACAGATTGTTTTGGCAAGTGCTGTGAGCACATATTAAAGCCAACATGGCACACAAGGCCACCTTCGACTCGCCAGTTGTGAGGTTTACATACTGCACAAGGTACTTATTTAATGCCAAGTTAACCTTAGGGAGGCCCAGGATCAGTTCAGATATTCGTTACCAATGTTGGTCATGTGAATCAAACTTGGCTCGTCAGATTCGTAGTGCAGTGCACTAACCACTCAACCGCCCCACAACCTTTTGCCTTTAACCCCCTAACACACATACAACTCAAGCACATGCACCTGAAGGGCAGGATGGGCTTGGCGATCTTCTTGATGCTCCCAACACGGACAAACTCTTCAAAGCCGAGATCTAGCAGCCTTTGGAGAGAACGAAGTCTCATTTACATGGGAACCTCAACCAAATAATAAACACTGGCATAATAAATGGTAAAAACAAAGTCAGCCTGACTACAGTACATTGGCATCCCGAGCCAGTGGAGAATAAAATCCATACTCTTATGTCATAGAAATGTGCCTAAAGATTGAATATACTACCTGCTATGATTTTTTATTGTTTAATTTTTTACCTACGTGACTTTACCAAATAGAACCAAAGAGTACCTGCTATGACAAATGGGTAAGAAATATGGACTTTGACAAAGATAATTACTGAAAAGTAATATATATGGTAGAACATATTGTACTGTGAAGGTCTATTTGGTATTGTATATGTAGTATATATTATGGTATTGTGTGTATGTAGAATCTACTGTGTAAGTGCTGTGTAAATGAGACCCCAGCAGGACACGATCCACTGCTACATTGGTGGCGGCTGAGATGAGGACCCTGAGAGGAGTCCTCTTGGTTCCGGCCTCGTGCTTGACTCTCCGGAGGACTCCGATCAGGTACATGACAATGCAGGACAGCATGAAGCTCTTTCCAGCGCCGAACACACCTGTGCATCATCATCAACAGCATCATAAATATTGTAGTGACTGGGAATGTCACTGTGTGTGGTGCCGGGCCTGCGAGGCCACAGCGGATGTTGTGTTGTCATTATGTGTAGCCCAGTTACTGGGCGTAGTACCAGCCCTAGCGGGGCTTGGGTGAGCGCTGGTTAGCGTGGGGACACCACGTACAGCGTGCGGTGCGGGCTCCCGGTGAGGGAGCAAGAGAGGGTGTCAGCCAGCAGGGTTACGTTGGGGCATGATATGCTGGTTGACCTGCCGACACGTGACCGGATGATATTGGAGGGGGGCCACCAGTGGACGGGGGCCGCTGGGTGGTCACGTGGTATAGTGAGCCTTGGGGAAAGAGCTTGAGAGATCCAGAAGGTGGGCGGGGCGAGAGGCGGAGCTAGCCCCAGCCCAGGCCGATATAACGGGGGCCCTGTGTGGGGCCCAGGATTCTTCGTGTCTGTTGGAATGAAAATCCACGTCGGGTTGAAGAAGCCTCTACCCATGCGGTCCGGGACGCAGCTTGTGGTCCGGACCGGGATAGCAGAACCGTGTCTAATTCTGCCGTAGCGTGGTTAGATGGGCATTCAACACCCGAGTGTAGTTTATGTTATGTTTTTGTTCGTGTTGATGTAATAAATAGTGTTGCTCCCAAGACGTCTGCGACTCAGTTGGACTCACTACACATGTATTGAGCGCTTTAATAAATGCCTCAGCATCTCAAAATGCCTTACACCACATCTTATCTCAAACATTATAAAGAGACATCCAATTGCAGCTGTCCCTCTGGGGGACAAGATGACTCAGCACATGTCTGCAAATAGGGTTAATCCATCTCTAGATATTGCTATGTCAACAGTAATCCCACTGAAATCATTTGTAAGTAATTTTCTAATTTTGAAGATTTTGATGGTGACACCAGGACGCAATAGCCTAACATCCAATAGTCTGTTATCACCATGATTACTTCAGTAACGTCTTTCCAATGTGTTTTTGGTTGTACCACGTGTTGTTTGGCATGATGTCCAACTTTCACTGCATATACTGTAAGTTTCTTGAGGAACTGAATTGAAGAAGCTCCCAGAATGTGAGCATTGAGGTGGTGCTCATCTCCTGTTTACAGCCCTGTACAATTGATGGGAATTCTACATTCTTATGGTGGGGTTAATACACTTATCATGTATACAGTATAATTATTAAGGCGAAGACCAATACCCCAATGAAGCCCTCATATAAAGCTCATAGGTAAAAAACAGCGCTGTCAGTAACAAATCTCCATAGGAACCATGTTATAACGACCTCCTATAGCGCTATTTCATATAGCGTTCCGTTTACCAACGCGTCCTGAGTGTTATAAGAGGTATGCCTGTACTCATTTTATCAACCCAGAAGAATTATGGGCTGAGTTAACCCCCAACCAGAATTGTACTTGCAACCTTTCTGATCGCTCTACCACTGAGCCATCTGACCATCACACCGATCGTCATTTCAGTTGTCTTCATGGTCACAATCATCATCATGAGCATTATCAAAGCCATTCCCACCTTGCACTATGGTGACCCCGGCCGTCTCAGCCCCAGCTTGTATCATGTGGGCCACTCTCCTCAGCACGTCACCCTGCTCCCCGTTGAGCCCCCGCTCCGCAATGGTTCGCTCCGCCAGTTCCCTGGGCCATGTCTGGGCCGGGTCGACCCAACTGCCGTGCGCAGGGGGAGCCAGGACGAGCGGGGGACGGAAGCCAGTTCGGCGAGATTTCACGCTCCGCTCCTGTGAGCCCTCACTGAGTGGGGAGCGGGGAAGGGTATCATTGCAGTTGAACATCATCATAATCGTCATAATGACCATAATCATCGTCAACATTGTCATCATCGTGATCAGTGTTGGATCCAAAGAGGAGGGGGGTTATGATCACTCCCTCGAACATTTGCATTTGTTGACATTTACCAGATAAAATACATATAATTTTGGGCCCTATTCAAAGAAATTGAACTTTCAGGACCACCCTCTACCCCCTGGAAAGTTTCTCGAACCTTATTGTAATAATTGTCATCATCACCGTCATCCTAATCATAATTGTTGTCATCATCATCGTCGTGATCGTAATCATAATCATCGTTGTCATCATTACCGGGGTCATAAACGTAATCATCGTCATCATCACCTTAACCATCGTCATAATCATCATTGTCATCATCGTCATCATCATCCACATGCTGGATTAAGGCCTCCCGAAGTCAACCAGTGATTCTTAGCAAACCCTTTTAGTTTCAACTTCACAACCAATGCCATGGATTGTGGATTCAGAGCAGCTGGGGACTAGGGGGCATGGCATAAGTTGTGGTAGTTATTTGATCTACCCCAGAGGGAAGAATGATCCGCTGATTCAACCCCCAATCAGGATTGAAACTCGCAACCTTCAATTGCGAGCTGCTGCGCTTGACCACTGAGCCACAAACCCAGCTGTTTTCAACAGTCGCATATGTCCGTGTCAGTGTTTGTATACACGCACAGGCTGAGCATCAGAGGCAGGATGGGCAAGGTGGACACCTCCACGTTTTCACGGATGTTCCGCAGGCAGCTTAGCTCCCAGCTGGCATTGCACACGTGAATCGCATGCACAGTCGCTACATACACGCACGCAAGACATGCATAAATGCACAGTGTGAGTGTCATGTCTCTGTCATTGTGAGTATTGTTTCCCTAAAACACTGTGTCTTTATGCCAATGTGTCGCTATGTCACTCTTCGTGCTATATCTATGCTACTGTGAGTTTCGTGTCTCGATGTCGCTGTGAGTGTGAGTACCGTTCTGTGCCCACGTGCTTGATGTGTGTTCCCTCAAGGGAGACACCTCCAGCTCGCCAGAGGCTGACGGGCCATAGAACACACTGCACACTACCATGACGTTGGCAGGAGGGAACCCGGCATCCGTAGAAATGACCCAGAGGTCATCTACAGCACACATACAAACACAGCCACACAGTCACACGAAGCTACACAAACAGCCACTCATGAAGGCTAATTTGTACACGAGCGGGTGATGTGGCTAGCACCACGCCAGGCTGCATTTATTTCCCCATTGCTGATGTTTACACACTGCACCAAATACTCATTTAATGCTGAGGTCAAGGACCGATTTAATTATGTTACTGTCGAATGCGGATCGCTGGGTTCGCAGTGCAGTGTGCTAAACCACTACAACATTGCTCTCCACATACACAGTGATTCACAGAAACTCGCATACCCTTGCTGTAGCTGCTGTGATTCTCCTTGCGGTTGAGTAGCAGGAAGAGTTTCCTCTTAATTCCGGAATTCATCTCTTCTGTCACAAATTTCTTTTTCCGGAATCGCTGAACCAGGGTCCGACCCCCAAAGCCTTCCGATACACTCCTGTGTGGATTAAATAATCACCATTATCATTACAATTATCGTTATCATCATAATTACCGTCATTATCAAAATTATTAGCAGAATCATGATCATCAGCAGCATAAACATTATTATTAGCAGTGGAAGCAGTAGCAACAAAATCATCAACAGCTGAACTTTTGGCTACATTCATGTTTAGCCCACCAACTCAAGAAGACTTGAAATACGACCACATTTTGATTTAAAGCTTTCGTGACTGCAGTAATTCATATTCTTAGTTTTTTCGGTAAAGTCACGTTGAAGAGAAACAACAGAATAACAAAATATATATAAAACAATAAAAAATTCTCACGACGTTTCGACCATAACTCAAACGGTCATCATCAGGTGGTCGAAACGTCGTGAGAATTTTTTATTGTTTTATATATATTTTGTTATTCTGTTGTTTCTCTTCAACGTGACTTTACCGAAAAAACTAAGAATATACGACCACATGTTCAGCTCTCCCTAGTTGATGGCTTAGACAAGACTGAGAGCACTGTGCATGCAATATGGGGCTCACATGACATATATGTAAGGCATGATGGGAGTCATGCCTTCATGTTGCTTGTGCACACTTTTGTTATTTATAATTGTTTCCAGCCTGCACGCAGTCCAGTTGTAATAGGTTTCATCATCATTTAAAGTGGTGGTTTATAATACATTTTTGGGTTAAGCCACCGGTCAGATATTCGACAATCATGTTGGCCGTGAGTGAAAATTTAACATGGGACGCTGGGTTCGAAGCACAGTATGCTAACCCAAAAATAAATAATATATAAAAAATATTGGCTATGAAAACCTAAATCTCTGAAAAGTGGTGGATTTGAAAATTCAGAATGAAGATGCAGCCATCCTCATCTGGGAACTCACTCACCGACGGAAGAGTCGACAGTTTCTATACAGAGACACGTGCCTTCCGCGACTGCCCAGGCCCCCTATCTTCTTGCGGTGAAGGCGAGAGGCCGTGTCATGCAGAATCAAATTGAGGTGTTCTGTGGGGACACGGTGCCCGCAGGGGCATTCTGAAAATCAGCCTCTTGTAACCCATTACGTGCAGTTTTAGCGCATTACATGGTGCAACTTTCTCCACTAATACTTTGTGCATATATACTTTGTACATGTATATAATTTTATCCACAAGAAACGTTGTGCATGTATACCAATTCAGTCCACTGCTGGACATCATGATTGTGATGATTGCAATGATTATGATAAGTGAGATGATTGTGCATGTGGATCTATGCGACCGGGACTCATAGAGACAGATCTATAAACTTCCCAAAGAGGGATGGGGTTTTTGAAATTTCAAGCTTTTCATATAGGGCCCTACATTCAACATATTTATACTAATTCGCAAGAGAGAAAGATCGCCTCTCCCTGCATATATAGGTGAGACTGGATAGTGAAGTGTGAGTGTGTACATGAGGGTGAGGCTGGATAATTAATGTGTGTGCATAGCTGGGCAGGGAATTTTAGTACGTGCGGTGAATTGTCTACCTATGATGGCAGACGAGAGGGTGTCTTTGTACGCAGCAGGGCTGGAGAAAGACACAGGAATGATGATCTTTCGTTTGAGAGTCGGCTGCCTCAGGACACTCTCCATGGATGGAAAACGCAGCTCTGATAAGCGCACGGCCTGTGTCCACATACAAAAACAGCTGCCATTCGCTACCAAGCGGCGTGACGTTGCCACAGCGCTTGTGTCAGGCTATGTGCACTTAGAAGCCAAGTGAAGTGTTGAAGGCTTGCTGGCAGGTCACATTATAGACCCAGCTGTTATGGATATAACTGAGATAACTGAAAGATGCACCACCTTTGCTCCCCATTGTGCCAACTTGCTGTGCGCTTTAGCCACCCGGTGCTCTGCCCAGTAAGGTGAGCATCGGCTTCTTTGCCTCCCATCGTTGTTGGAGGTCGACTGCCTATAACTGCCAAGTAGCGTGTTTCATGAGTCTCCTCCAGAGCCCCATGTTTGCACCACTGGTAACTAGTAAGTCCAAGTTCACCTAACAAACACGTTGCTAGTGAGCACAAATTATGCCGATAGCACATAATGGGGTGGTGTGGTCAATACCATGCATAGTTGTCTGTCTATCCATATGATGTTGACAAACTGCAGCAGTTAGTCATTTAAAGCTGAGTCAACCTAAGGAAGGCTTAGGACATGTTCAGATATACCATTTGCCGCTGATGTTACCCATGGCTGGTAATTGAACCCAAATCCCTGGGATTGTGGGGCACAAAAACACAGACATTAGGAAGCTGACACAGCCGATGCAGCCATTACGCACCAGATGCAGTTATTATGATTCCCCTAAAAACACGCCCAGAGCCAAGAGTTTAAAAAAAGGATCTCTATCTTTTGTAGCTTTCTGCCCTTCATCCACTTTGCCCATGGGTGTCTCCGTACCTGCCTGCTGGACTCCAGACAACGTGAGAGGACCCCAGACCCTGTAGGGCGGCTGCCACACACCACCACAGATGGCCGTGACCGGGCCAGTGAGGACCCCAAGCGGCGGCCAATCAGCGCTCTGCGCTCAGCCGGAGATGGGCCAATGAGAGTGCAGCTTCGCCGCTCCTCCTGTGGACATGACACACGGATTATCATTATCACTGGGACTTGTTAGCAAGGCTTGCCCAGCTACACCTTGACAATCTGTAACATAAGTTATAAATTACAATATTACCCAATTATAACACAACTAGCTTTACTACCCGGCTTCGCCCGAGACTTGGATTCTTGTCTTGGATTAATACACGGCCTACGCGGAGGGTGGGGGGGGATGCGTGATGTCAGCAGGCACACTGCGTAACGCTGCCGCATACGGGTGACATCACAGATGTGACGTCACCGCTCATTTGCCGTGCAAAATATATCCATTATTGCGCCCCCCCCCCCCCCCCAAATATAAAAGTCTATTTTTATACTTTTTGCATTGTGTACAGTCTGGAAGCAACCCACGTGCCAAATTTGGGAAGTATGCTAAACATTTCAAACAGACACACATATTCACAAATTTCCCTTTTCTATATATATAGATATCCAATATCCAGTTATCCCGCACCTCCGACTAGCACGGTGGCTATGTATGGTGCGAAAAAGTTCTACATACACACATATTCAACTGAGGCATACCAGCTACACAATTAAGACTGTCAAAGTCAAGTCAAAGTGATTTCCTGCTCAAATCAGCATGGTGGCCAAATGTGGTGGTCGCATGACACATATATAAAGGCATGATGGGAGTCATGCATATTTGCTGTTTCTGAGCAAACCTTTGCGTGTTGTTAAATCTAGTCCTGCACATAATAGGGGTTTTCTGGGAAGGGGACCCAGAAAAACTGGAAGAATGCTTTTTTTACAAATTAAGAATTGCAGTTCTGACAGCGCTGACTGGTGGTTAGCTGTATCTCCATGCAAAGCAGATACGTCATGTGCCAGACAGTCTTAGTTTAGTACTGGACTGCACAGTCAGTACTCTAGCAATGGATTGTGCTTTATAGGATTGGCTTATGATTTTTGGTGGATTTAATGGTAGTTTATCTTTATTTTTTATATGTTAAACACATTTCCAATATAAATAACATTATAAGCTGTAAATGGGCTAAATTGGATCTTACGAATAATCTTTTTTTTTTAAGATACACTGAGGCACTTGATGCCCGAATTATCTTGGTATTTATAGAACACCATCGGAGGAAAATTATATTTAAAAACTTGTCTTCTCTTAAAAACATAACATATACATATACGAATACTAAGCTATTGTGAAAGCCCGGCGTTCAGTTTGTCTGTCCATTTGTCCGTCAACAAAATTATAAGAGGCTTGCAGAAGTCCTGAATCAAAAAGTAATGTGGGGGGTAAATAGTTGATCTAAAAGGTTTCCGAAAATTGTCGACTCCCCCCCCAAAAAATATTTTTACCCCCCCACGTAGGCATATATACCTACACACCCTACATACAAGAGTGAGTAGTATCTACTGACTATAGTAGTATCTATTGACTTTTTTGTAGTATCTACTGACTCTAGATTAGTGTCTGCTGACTCTGTAATAGTATATCTGACTTTACAGTAGTATCTACTAACTATACAGTAGTATCTACTGACTGTATAGTATAATCTACTGGCTGCAGTAGTATCTACTGACCGTAGTAGTATCTACTGACTCTACAGCAGTATCTACCGACTCTAAACTAGTATCTACTGACTATAGTAGTAACTACTAACTCTACAGTAGTATCTGCTGACTCTATAGTAGTATCTGCACTCTATAGTAGTATTGGCAGACTCTATAGTAGTATTGGCAGACTCTATAGTATCTGCACTATATAGAAGTATCGGCAGACTCTATAGTAGTATCTGCAGACTCTATAATAGTATCTCACTCTATAGTCGTATCAACTGACTCTGCAGCAGTATATACTGACTATAGTGGTATCTACAGACTGTAGTATTATATACCGACTCTATAGTAGTATCTACCGACTATAGTAGTAACTACTGAATCTATAGTAGTATATATATACTGAATAGTAGTATCTACTGACTATAGTCGCAACAACTAACTCTATAGTAGTATCTGCTGACTCTATAGCAGTATCTGCTTACAGACCAAGGCGGGAGAGGGGGGGGTTCATCAGTGGGTCTTTCCCCCTTTTTTAAATAAGCTCTCCAGCGACGTTTTTTTAAAACTCATTTTGGCTAGGGTTAGCGTGTGGGCTTACCAAAACTGTGACTGAGACAAGTGCGCAGTGCGGGAAAGAGGCGCGGAAGCGGTAAATAAAATAATGGGTGGGCCACGCGCGGACTCACCGCTCACCTCCTGCTGTGCGGCCCGGTTCCTAACAGGCCACGGACCGGTACCGGTCCGCGGCCCGGGGGTTGGGGACCCCTGCTCTACAGCAGTATCTGCATTCTATTTCTATTTTACCCCTATCCTTACCCTTATCCTCTAACCCTTACAACTGTCTAACAGACTACCGCGAACCCTATCCATAACTATACCTATGAAGATATCCTCAGAACCACATTTATAATCCTCAACCCATCCCTAACTCTACCTGCATCCCCGCCTGTCATATTATCAATAATGTACATGTCTAACTCCACCCCTATCTCAGATATCTATCATTAACCCTTTCGCCTTTCTCTCCTCCCCACCCCAACCCCTCCCAGTTGTCCATTTCCACTCACCATGACAACAGCATCATTAGGAAAGCACTGTTGTTGTAGAGACAGGGTGCTTGGTGACGGCCAATCTAAAACGCCGCTCTCAGCGCTGTACTCGTTGAAGCCCGGGGTAGGCTCCGCTGAGACATTGAACTCCAGTTCAAAGTCCAGCTCATCTCCATCACCACCATCATCGTCATCGTCATCACCATCACCCGTGGCGAGGCTGTCACTGATGGATGGTTCAAATGGAAAGCAGCCTTCTCTGCACGAGATTAAACATAAGAGTTTAGGACTGCTTTGGCTGTGGTGTGAAAGGAAAATGGGAAGGAATGTGACAGACCGAGCAGGGAGAGGAGGTAAAATAAATGAAGAGGGTTAGAAAGCATGGTTGAAAAGGACATTTTGGGGAGAGAATGGCAAAGTTTCCTGGCAAGGAATTTCTAGACGGTGGGGGTTTAGTGGCTAAAAATAGTAGCCTACAATGATCCAGTAGCACATCTCAGGAGTAGAGGAAGCAGGCTAGGATGCAGGGTTAGTGAGGGCTGCAGAGGTATGGAGGATTTAAATGCGAGGACAAGGATCGTTTTGTCCACATTCACACATGGATAGGAAGCCAATAAAATGAGGCCAGGAGGTTTAAGGCATTGAGTCCAGAGTGATACAAATCTCTCAATTTAGCTGAAGGAAGTTTAAACTCATCCCAAATGTTATATTGGATGAAGTGCCATGGCACTTCCATGGCTTTGGAATCAATGGTGGAGACAGAAATGTAAAGTTGGACATCATCAGCATACATGTGGAAGATGTAGAGAGAAAATGACTTGCTGAAGTAGGCAATCGAGCGGACATTGTTTGGGAGAAGACCAAAATTAATATAAGAATGCCAAAGGTAGATAATATTCAACAAGGACATACACACCCTGCTCCGATAAGATGCTCCAGGGAGGAGTCGTGATACTTGTCCCATCTGCTGCTGCCGCTTCTTCCCGCAGGTTCCTCCTGTCCCCGTTGCCTCCATGTTGTTGCCCCCTCTCCTGGGTGCTGCCTCCTGCCCGACCCACCCACAACCTCTTGCCCTTCCAAACGCCTGTCTATCGCATGGGGTGCAGGCTGCCAAGTCCCAGTCTCAGGGGACTCCCAGCTCCCCGAGTTTAACCCAGAGCCACGGATCTGAATCGAGCTGGGTTTGTAAGAGGGTCCATGGGAGGATTGTGTCGCAATTGGTGGGCATGGTGTAGGTAGTACTGTGGAAGCTCCAAAATCCCGTGACATTTCAAAACACCGTGACATTTCAAAATCCGATGAACCACTTGCAAGTATGTCCTGCTGCTGCCTCTGAGCCATAAAGCATTGAGCAGGATCTGCCTTCTTTTTCGGAGACAAACACTCGGGATGAGTGAAATGCTGATGCGGCTCAAGTACGTGCATCGGTGTGAGCCCCTCAGGGTCACGGAACACATCCTGGCTGCTCACCACGTGCTGCTGCTGGAAGCGCTGCAGACAGGAAACCTGGCACAGCAGCCGGAAGAGCAGTGGGAGGGACACGGGGAGAGAGACTCAGTTTGATTCTAACATAATTTCGTGTCCATCAAACCAACATTGTCTCACCAGTCCCTATAAATAGAGTCCCTACAGGAATCCATTTTTAAATGTAATCAGGACCCTGAATTATTGTGATAATGCATAACTTTGTAAAAAGGGTGTGGGTGAGATCATGGTTGCTTTAAGGGTGAGTTACATCAAACACAAGTGGGGAGTGAAAGGGTCATTATTGGTACTCAAGGTGCTTTCTTAGAAGGCGTAGCAAACTGGCCTCACCCGACCTCTAAGCATAAAAATATGAGTCAACAAGACACAAACCCAAACCAAACACTAAGTCCTAAGAATCCTAAAGTCTGGTTCCTAAAGTTACCGGAGTCTGTCCTAAAGTCTGGTTCCTAAAGTTACCGGAGTCTGGCTCTGTAAGATTTGGGAATTAGCACTGAACCATAAAAATCTGAAGGGTGCCATAGTGCGAATCTATTAGCCTCAGATATTTGTACAAATATGTAAGTATTAAAGATGACCATTATATTTACAGTAAACGGCAGCGACATTTGCTGCCTTTAGTTGTAACAAGGAGCACAGAGAATTCAACCAGGATACAGATAGCACTCTGTTCAATCAAGTCAGCAGCCCTGAACATAAATTGAGGTTGAGGCACTGGAGCCCTTTGTAGCTATACCTTGTCCTGGCTACCATGGGGCTGTCCCCAGCCCCAAGCACTCACAGAAGCATTGGTGGCAGAGGGGGGTTGAGATATCCTGCCTCCTTGCGCTGCCTCCTCCCAGCAGTCTCGATCTTGCCTCTGCTTGACTGTACTACCTTCATGGGCTCGCCCTCCTCCTCTCCCTCTGCCTCCTCCCTCTACTCTTCCACCTCCTTCCTCTACTCCGCTTTCTCCACTTCTTCCCTCTCGTTCTCTTCCTCCTCCACCTTTTCCTCCTGCTCTCTTGATGTCTATACATGCCGGGTCTTCGGCATTATGACTGGTGAACACCTCATACTGACCGCTGCCTTTAGTAGACAACGGGTGCACACTCGTGCCTTCCACGAACTTCCGACGATCATAACGTCCAAAATCTGGGTGATGATTGCTGCCTTTAATAATTGGATGCTGGCAACTGCCTGCATTAAATGTCCATGGCTGCCTGCTGCCTGTGGTGACCGTTCGATAGGGAATACTGTCTTGAATATACTGCAGATGCTGAGTGCCAGTTCTGGTATTTGTTTGACTTAGATTGCCACCTTCTATAAACACTGAATGTGGAATGCTATCTGCTACAAATGTTGAACATGAGAAGTTTCCTTGTTTAAAGCTTGCGTGTGAAGCATTGCACTGTGCCTGAGTCTGATGCTGAATCACTGACGACACGTTTTCTTCTTCAAATGTTTGATCACATATGCTTCTTTCCATAGCAGTCGACTGTGAAAGGCTGACTTCTTTATATGTTTCCTGCAGAAGAGAATAACAGCTGCCTGCTGTGAGCACTTTCTCGACAATGCCACACTCTACAAACGATTCACTATGAGCACCTCCCTGCACATTATACGACTCGTGTATTGTTTCTTCTTCTAGGCAAGGCTGACGTGCGGTCCTGCCTTTGACTACCGGTGGGTATGGAAAACAAATGTCTCTAAACGTCTCATTATGGTTGCTTCCTCCCATGAACACAGAGTGGTTAATGTCACCCTCCCCTCTACTTGCACGATGGATGTTGCCCCTCAAGCGCTCAATCTCACCTCCCTCAAACTTGTCCTCTATGTCACTAACACTCACAGGGCTCCGTTCGACGATTTCCCAGCCTAGAGCATCGCGTTCCAATGGAGCACACCTCCCTGATCGGCTGCATTCCACAAGGCAACTGTCAAACCCGGCCAAGGTTTCCCCCAAGACACCTTCCTGACTGTCCTCTCTCTCCTCACCAAAACCACACTTCCCTGCACCATGCCGCTCTGAACTCTGTGCTCCAAGGCCCCAGCCTAGACTCTCAATTCCGTGCTCCCATTGTCTACTCCTATCAGCATCCAGCCAGGACTCTCGACCACTCCGCGTGGTTACACTGCCCTGTGAGCTGTGCGCCTGCTGCCCAACACAGCCGCTATGCCCCACGGCCCTTGGCTCCGCCTCAGAGATGTTTGGAGAACTCCACCGTGGAAGGCGCTCTCTTTGAATGCAAGCCCCATGCATCACCTCTGTCGCCTCCTCCACTTGTTCATCCTGCTCCTCCAAGCTCAATGAGATGTCCATGGTGTCCACAGAGGCCTGGCTCTGGCTTGCATAGGTTTCCATTGCCCGTAGGAGAGCAATGGGCTTGCCTCTCCTCTGAGAAACCTCAACAGGACTCACGGGTGCTGAATCGATAAAGCAGTCTTCGTAAATGATGCTATCGGAGTTACTAGCCTTCACGTTACAAGCATAATCGACCCCCTTGCTACCAATCCCGTCATCTTCGCCACCATCACTTCCACCTATACCACACACACTGTGCCCCTTGCTCGGCACGTAGTGCGCAGACCTCATCTCATCTTCAATATTGCACGGTTCCACGGTCATACTCAGAGAGCCAGACGAGTCAGGAAGCACTGCATGGGTGCCAACCCCATTGGCAGCAGCAGAGCTCTCATCTGAAGCCACACACCCAGCTACAGAGACTGGACTGTGTGTTGCAGGCAACTGAGCAGGATGGAGCTGCTCAGGTAGTGGCTGGGCTGGCTGTACACTTGCGTCTTCGGAGAATGTGCCAGGCTGGCTGTCACCCGCCCACAGCTCACTTGCCCATGCAGAGAACACGTTAAAGTCCACCATTGGCTGAGAGTCTTGTATTGTGGGCTCAGTCCTAAAAACTCTGACATCAGCTGGGACCGTCCTGTGCACCAAGTTCGAGTCCTGGGAAGACTGTGGATCTAGATGAGTTGGCTCTTGTTGTGTTTGCTGATGAGTCTCTAGTGTATTCTGCAATGCCACTGACACTGGAAATGGCTGCAATGTGTCCTGCTGAAGCTGTGGATCTATATTGGGCTGTGATTTACCCTGATAAGGTTGTGTGTCTATTTTGGGTTGTATTTTGGAGGTAGGATGTTGATCTTCTGGGGGATTCTGTTTGTTCTGAAGCTTTAGTTCAGCACAGTGAAGCTGTTTGTCTACCGTTGGCTGCATGTCTGTATAAGGCTGTATTTTGTCCAAAAAAGGTGGCTGTCTCTCTGAGGATGACTGCGCAATGGTGTGAAGCTCATCATCCAAACAGGACTGTAGTTCATAATATTCAGACTGTGTGTCTGGGTTAGGCTGTAGGCTTTCATGGGATTGTACTTTGCTTTTCAAGGGCTGTACTTTGTTCTGGTATGTCTGTTTGTCTTGGTACAGATTCAGTTTTTCAAGACAAGGCTCTGCAGCTGGGTTAAGCTGTACGCTGCCCTGTGACGACTCTGCATTGCTCCAGTCAGAGTGTTTATACTGATCAGAATGCTGCTGTTGCTGGTATGGCTGTGGCATGGCCTGGGAATGCTGCTTGCAAGAGTCCATCCCCATGTAAGGCCATAGTTTGTCTTGCGAAGGCTGTTGGCCAATCAGGGAAGGCTCTTCACCCCTGTGAGGCTGCACATTCTCAATGTAAGCCTGCCGCTGGTTCTCGCAATGCAGTTTGCCCAAACAATGTTGTTTATTGCTTAAGATGGGCTGTTCTTTATCCTGAGAAGAACTTCGATCGGTATGCCCAATTTTTGAGCCATTCTGATCAAACTGCTGGTCCCAAAAAGCGTGTTTCTCCTGGGAAGATGGGGAGTTGTTAAATTGACCAGCACCAGCCCCACCTCCACCATCACCTTGCATCAGCAGTGCCAGAATTTGAGCTTTGGTGCGTTTTGCGTCAGTGCTACGGCCATTTGAATCAACCACAAAAATGCACTCAGATGTTTTTCTGTCAGGATCAGCTTCCCTGTCCCTCCTGTCCTCATATAGAACACCAATGCCATCCTCGGCACCGCCCAGATCCGCTGGCTGAACCGCCCTCACAATTACACCATCTCTCCTCCCACTGATGTTGTTGGGAATCCCTCTGTACTCCTCATTTGATGGTAGAGTCGCACGAGGGGGCATCTTTCCTGTCGTGCTTTTCCTGCCTGGCAGAGAGCCCCACAGAGCTGGCAACACCGTGTTCCCAGGCCCACTCTCCGTGGCTTCGGTGTAGTCTGGATGACAGACGGCACTGTGTCCCTGCTGCAGCGAGGAGGCCTTGCTGTCTCCATTTCCTGGGAGGGACGACCCAAGTGCCGGCGGTGAAGACTCCTCTGCCTTCACCTCCACCTCCACCTCGCGGGGAGTCCGGAAGCTACCCTGCCACACAGAAAAACTGTTAACACCATATGGCCTGTTGAAACAATATTCGACAATAACACAACACGCATAGCAACATAATTGGGGTGTAAGTGCAGACAATAAACAAATGTGCCCATATTATGTACTCTACCCTGACATGCTGTTGCATTTACATGCTGTATAAATCCGCATTTTACCGTACTGTGATTGCAACAAAACCTACGGTGGTGTGTTTCCGCTTGAAGCTGGGAAGGCATGGACGTCTGGGCGGCTCTGGATTGGTAGGTTTAGGGGTGGCACTGACTAACGAATTTGTAGGATTGGTCGACTCCTCGACTGTTATGAGGAAGCGGTCACTTTCCAGCTCCAAACCAACGGTGACCTGAAACAAACAAAGGGCTCCATTTAGCCTATATCATCTTCTTTGGGTCTTTCGATAAAGTCACGTAGATAGGTTCAAAGAAAATAAAAAAATAACAAAAAAACTCCGACGTTTCGATCACAACACAAGCGATCATCATCAGGAGGAAAAAAGAGGGGGAAAGCTGCTGAGGCAGACTGTTTTAAAGGTTTAAAATGGGTGTAGCCCAAGGGTCATAAACGAAGTAGGCGGGGCTAGTGATGTTAACGTGAGAAATTAGCATGTTAATGTGAGTTCGGAGAGTGCCCTCCACGACGAGGGCGTGGAGGTGGCTATGTTAATGTGAGAGATTAGCATGTTAATGGAAGATCGCAGAGCAGCAACGTCGAGCTCGGCGAGCGAGGTGGCTGTTAGTGAGAAATTTAACCTCTTAATGTAAAATCAGAGAGCCAAAAATAACAACTAATATCGGAAGGTGGTAGGATGGGAACATCACAGCCAGTTATGACTTAAACTGGTTGACAATGTCCTTCCAATGATTCATCTAGAATGGAACTTTCTATAAACAAGTTGAAGGTACCCCAATAGGTTCTCCCTTATCTCTAGTTGTATCCAATTTTTAATGGAAAATAATTTTGAGACAGATGCCATCCAGGCATTCACTCTATGTCCGTCCTTGTGGAAGAGGTACGTAGATGACACATTCGTCATCTGGTCACATGGCCGACCAGCTCTGAACCTTATTCCTCAACCACATCAATTCCATACACCCAGCCATCAAATTCACCATGGAGGTGGAAAAGGATGGCACGCTACCATTCATGGATGTTTTAATCGAAAGACCAGATGGTTCAATGGGACACTCTGTCTACAGGAAAGCCACCCATACGGATGCATATCTAAAACCTGACTCCCACCACCATCCTTCCGAGAAGAATTCCCTCATCAAAACTCTACACCATAGCGCTCGATGTATTCCCGACCATCATCATCTAGCCAGTGAACTGAAACACGTACACCAAGCTCTCAAGGCGAATGGATATTCTGATTACACAATCCGCAAAGCTATCACCCCAACCGTGAGGAAAGAGCCATCTGAAGATCCAACCAAAACCATCACCTTACCATACATAGCAGGGGTCACCAAAAAGATCTCCAAAATCACGAGCAAACACAAGATCCAGGTTCGATTTAACAAAGTACATAAAATTCGTGATCTGATTCCATCTGTGAAGGATGTGATCCCTGACATGCAATACCCCGTTGTCTACAAACTAAGCTGTGTCTGTGGCAGTAGTTGCATTGGGGAAACTAAGCGACATGTCTCGGACCATGTTCGTGAACATAAGGCAGATCTGAAAGACAGTAGGACCAATACCTTGGCTATGGCTGATCATTGTTTTAATGCGGTGGGCTCACACGAAATGTATTTCTCTAAGATAAGGTACTTTGCAAACCCACTGGCTATCAACAAAGATTTGTTCATGAAGCCATCCACATATACAGACACAACTTCAATCGAGAAGATGGGTATAAACTGAATAATCATTGGAAGGACGTTATCAACCAGTTTAAGTCATAACTGGTTGTGATGTTCCCATCCTACCACCTTCCGATGTTGGTTCTTATTTTCGGCTATTTGATTTTACATTAACAGGTAAAATTTCCCACACTAACACAGCCACCTCGCTCGCCGAGCTTGACGTTGCTGCTCTGCGATCTTCCATTAACATGCTAATCTCTCATATTAACATAACCACCTCCGCACTCTCGTCGTGGAGGCTGCTCTCTGATTTTACATTAACATGCTCATTTATCACATTAACATCACCAGCCCCGCCCACTTTATGACCCTTGGGCTACACTCATTTTAAACCTTTAAAACAGTCTGCCTCAGAAGCTTTCCCCCTCTCTTTTCCTCCTGATGATGATCGCTTGTGTTATGATCGAAACGTTGTAGTTTTTTGTTCTTTTTTGTTATTTTCTTTTAACTTATCTACGTGACTTTACCGAAAGACCCAAAGAATATGAATTCCTGTAATACCGAAAGCTTTAAGTTAAAATCTAGCCTATCATCAGTAGCAACATCATTTGTGAAATCATCACTGATCACATCATCATGATTCAGGTAACAATTTTGTTATGGTAAATTCTTCGTGAAATTCACGAGCGAGGTGTGGGAATAAAAATTTCATGGAAAGGTAATGGGAAAACATGCGGAGGGGGTACAACACATACACAATGGCTTAATTTTTTTTAAATATAAGTATATAACCATTTAAATGGTCTAAATAACTTTAATGACATAGTTAATTGACAAGTATCAAATAGGGGGCAGTTGGTTTGAGTAGAAACAGCAATCCCACCCTCCTGCCCCCACCTCCATATGACTCAAATTACAATCGTAATAACTTTGTAAATTTCAGACATGCACACTTACTTTCTGACCCTTCAGGAAGACTGAGTCCAGACGCAAACCTTTGTCATCAAACAGAATCGCCTGTAGTACACAAAGATAAGCACACAAACAGCATATATAAATATACATAACGTAAGATAAATAAACATACCTTACATATGTAGAGGAGTATTGTGAGTAACCAATGAGGGGGCAAACAGAAGGAGGTGCAAGCAGGTTGACAGTCAAGGATGACGTAACATCACGGGTGGTCTAAGGGGTACCGTCGGGAACAAAGGCGGGTCCGAGCTGGGGGAAGGAGCCGCCCAAGGGGTTCTTAAGGGGGACCCCGTGATGAAGGCGTGGTCGTCGTGGAAAGCCAGGGTACGGATCGGCTGCAGGGGGTCGCTACATCCTCGTCGCGGAGCGGTGTTGGCTGAACCCCCGCTCCGGGCAGACGATCACTTGCAGCGCCTGGAATCAGTCTTCGTCAAAGTGCGTGCTGCTAACCTCAAATTTAAACCACAAAAGTGCCACTTGCTGCAGTCTTCTGTAGAGTATTTGGGCCATGTGGTCAGTGCGTCAGGAGTTGCTACGGATCCTGATAAGACTGCTTGTGCCCGTTCGTGGCCAACCCCCACATCTGTCGCCAAGGTTCGCAGATTTGTGGGCTTTGCCTCATATTACTGTCGGTTTGTACGGGATTTTACAACAATTGCTAAGCCACACCACGCGCTGTCCACTAAGGGCCAAAAGTTCCATTGGGGCAAAGCAGAGGAGTAATTCGTCGCCCTACGGGATTCCCTGGCTGACGCGCTTCCCCTGGGTTTTCCCGACTTCTCGCTGCCCTTTGTTCTGGGTAATGCCATCGACACAGGCATAGGGGCTGTGCTTTCCCCGAAAGGGTGGTAGCATATGGCAGCCGCGCGTTATCTTCCGCGGAGCAGCGTTACTGTGTAACTCGTAGAGAGCTGCTTGCCATTGTCTATTTCGTTCAGTTGTATAGGCCCTACTTGTATGGAAGGCGGTTTATTGTCCGGACGGATCATGCCGCCTTACAATATTTCTTGCGCATAGATCAACCTTCCGGTTAGCTGTCCGCTGGCTCGAGGTGTTGCAGGAGTACACATTTTAAGTTTATTCACAGAAAGGGGGCCACAACACGGAAATGCGGACGCCTTGTCGAGGTTGGCACCGGGCAGTGGGTGTGCATGTACGACAGGTTCTAGTCGTTGCAGGCCTCCAGTTCAATCCACACCTCAGTTGGTGGCGACGGCCGACATGCTCCTCTTCAAGGTGTGCCGCTGCCCACGGATTGCGGACTAGGTCTCGCTCGTAATGAATGGTCCCGCCTACAGATTGATACCTCCCCAGCCGTTGCCCTGTATGATGGCCTCCTTATGTGATAGGATGCTGAGTTAGAGGTATTGAATTGTGGTGCCCTCAGGCCTGCGGGGGAAACTAACTCGCGTAATTCACGAAAAATGCATGCACTTGGGGATTCAGAAAACTTTGTTGACCGTCAAACGGGACTATTACTCTTCTTTGGTTCTTTCGGTAAAGTCACGTAGAATGAGAATAAAATAATAAATTGATCAAATAAAATAACACAATAATATTCTCACGACGTTTCGGCCACAACACAAGCGGCCTTCATCAGGTGAAGGGACGAGACTGTCTGGTAGGACAGCGCTGGAGTGAAAGAGCCACGTTCAGATCACGACCTTTAAGCTGTGTGAGAGGAAACAAAGTGCCTTGACAAAGGAATTAGCATATAATTTAGCATTGAAATGGATGAGTGATTAGCTTGTGATGGGCACAGAAATAGCTATGTTAAAAGTTAAAGCATACACATCCGCAGAGGCACCCCTTGATAAAGGAATTAGCATATAATTTAGCATTGAAATAGCTAAGTTAAAGCATACACATCCGCAGAGGCACCCCTTGACAAAAGAATTAGCATAGAATTTAGCATTGAAATAGCTGAGTGATTAGCTTGTAACTGGTCACAGAAATAGCTACGTTAAAGTCAGAGCATACACATTCACCGAGGCACTTAGTACAAATCAAACAGGAGAATTTAGCATTGAAATAACTAGGCGAATTTACCATTGAAATAACTGAGTGATTAGCTAGTGACTGGTCACAGAAATGACTATGTTGAAGTCAAGGCCTACACATCTGAGCTATTCACAGTACTATATAGTGAACCAATAAAAAACTAAAATATAAAATACCTTAATGTTATCAATAAACTCTATATTCTCCAATCAGCTAAGCTACCAACAATAAGTCGTTATATATCACAATGCTATATGGCGAAAAAAATGGGTGGATTCTTACCCTCAACTTTAGCACCACGGATAGCTACGGGCCCCGTTCAGACGGACGAGTTCATCCATGGTCGGAACAGAGGAGGGGGAGAGAGACAGCTGCGAGGCGCTATTATACTCCATGTTGTAAACCATACCATTAACCGTGGTGTGAGAGGTATTAAGAGTCAATGCTGGCGAAAGAGCTGCGGTCTGAAGGTCATTGTAAAATACAATTAATTAAGAAGAGAAATGATTTAAAACATTTTTCCAATGGTTACTAAGCCAGAATCCATCTTCTCGGTTGAAATTGTCTCTGTGCTTGTATATGTGAATGGCCTCATGAACGAATCTCTCATGGTAGCCGGTTGGTTTGCAAAGAACCTCCGTCTTGGAGAAGTCAATGTCATGTGAGCCCACTGAATTATAACAGTGATCTGCCACGGCAGAGGAGTTCGTCCGTCTGAACGGGGCCCGTAGCTATCCGTGGTGCTAAAGTTGAGGGTAAGAATCCACCCATTTTTTTCGCCATATAGCATTGTGATATATAACGACTTATTGTTGGTAGCTTAGCTGATTGGAGAATATAGAGTTTATTGATAACATTAAGGTATTTTATATTTTAGTTTTTTTATTGGTTCACTATATAGTACTGTGAATAGCTCAAATGTGTAGGCCTTGACTTCAACATAGTCATTTCTGTGACCAGTCACTAGCTAATCACTCAGTTATTTCAATGCTAAATTCGCCTAGTTATTTCAATGCTAAATTCTCCTGTTTGATTTGTACTAAGTGCCTCGGTGAATGTGTATGCTCTGACTTTAACGTAACTATTTCTGTGACCAGTTACAAGCTAATCACTCAGCTATTTCAATGCTAAATTCTATGCTAATTCTTTTGTCAAGGGGTGCCTCTGCGGATGTGTATGCTTTAACTTAGCTATTTCAATGCTAAATTCTATGCTAATTCCTTTATCAAGGGGTGCCTCTGCGGATGTGTATGCTTTAACTTTTAACATAGCTATTTCTGCGACCAGTCACAAGCTAATCACTCAGCCATTTCAATGCTAAATTATATGCTAATTCCTTTGTCAAGGCGCTTTGTTTCCTCTCACACAGCTTAAAGGTCGTGATCTGAACGTGGCTCTTTCACTCCAGCGCTGTCCTACCAGACAGTCTCGTCCCTTCACCTGATGAAGGCTGCTTGTGTTGTGGCCGAAACGTCGTGAGAATATTGTTTTATTTTATCAATTTATTATTTTATTCTCATTCTACGTGACTTTACCGAAAGAACCAAAGAAGATGAATCATTGCAGTCACGAAAGCTTTAAATCGAAATTTAGGGACTATTACTGGCCGGGCATGGAGGGCTACGTGGTGCTATTCATCAAAGGCTGCCAAGATTGCGCGCGTCGGAAGCCTCCAGTTTTGCGCGATCGGCCCCCGCTGCAATCTATCCAGGTATCGTGTAAACGAACTTGTGGCCCTTGACATTTTAGGCCCATTTCCAACTTCTCAGCAGGGCCACAAGTATCTTTGGTCGGGGTAAAGTACCTCATGCTGGCCCATGGCGTGGCCCTTACATGATCAGTCGGCCTCGTCCAACACCGATACCTTTTTGCATGGCTACATGTTAGACAAGGGAGTCCCGAAGCAGCTTCTAACCGACCAGGGTTGAAATTTTTCTTCCCGACTCTCAAGGAGGTCTGTAACCTCCTGGGCACGAAGAAAATTAGAACCTCACCCTACCACCCTCAAACCGATGAAATGATGGAGCGCTTACATCGCGCCCTCATGTCCATGCTGTGCCACCAGGTGAACGAGACCCAGTCGGACTGGGATCTGTTTATTCTGAGCGTCCTCGCCGCGTATAGGTTGGCCCCTCAAGCCTCAATGGGATTTTCACCTTTTTATTTAATGTACAGAAGGGACCCCGAACCCCTGATGCACATACAGCTGGGCATGGGCCGGTCTAAAAAAGGATCCGCCGTGCCCGCTTCGATAAGAGTCACGCTTGACAGGTTGCGGGAAGCACGGGAGACCACTGTAAGCAATTCGGCCAATCGGCAAGCAGCTAATGAACGGTTGGAGAAACACCAGGGATCCGGGCTTCCGTGGAGGAAGGAGGATAAACCATGGCTGTATTGCCCACAAGTACCCAAAGGGCTGTCCCCTAAATTACATCGCCCTTGGCAGGGTCCCGTTGAGGTCGTGGAGGTCCACCGGCCACAGTGTGTGCGCATCCGATTCGGTCGCCGTCACTGGATTGTTCATCCATCCAGGTTGAAGAGATATGTATTGCCCTGTCCCGATGATTCATCCCCACTTCCGGAGCAGCCGGTGCTTGATGTGTCCGACGAGCCTGGCCACCCAGGCCAGGATGCGGTGCATCCCGCGGAGCTGCCGGCATCCTCGTCGGGGGAAACGACGGCCGAGGACGCACCGCTCGCGCACAAGCAGGTTGCTGCTCATGGGAGCAGAACGGCGTCACGTACACGGTCCAGAGGCGCTGTTCCGCTGAGCTCCTCCTTCTTGCCCCGTATCGACAGACGTCCGTCGTCGCCAACGGTGTGGTCGGCACCATGGACTGAGGGATGGCGGCCTTCCGTCCAACTTGCCGTTCTACCTTAACACTCTTGTTATTCCCTCGCAGATTGCCCTGCCTCCTCACCTCCAGGGATATTATTATTGTTGCAATTGTTGTTGTTGATGGTTTTCTGGCTGTATGGTGTTGACCCCACCACGGGTTGTTTTTCAGTATTATTAGCAGCCGGGACGGCTGGGTTTTTTTATGGGGGGGGGCGAGATGTAGAGGGGGCGAACCGAAGGAGGTGCGAGCGGGTTGACAGTCAAGGATGACGTAACGTCACGGGTGGTGTAAGGGGTACCGTCGGGAACAAAGGCGGGTCCGAGCTGGGGGGAGGAGCCGCCCAAGGGGTTCTTAAGGGGGACCCCGTGACGAAGGCGTGGTCGTCGTGGGGAGCCAGGGTAAGGATGGGTTGCAGGGGGTCTCTCCCTTCCTGGTCGCTGAGAGGTGTTGGCTGAACCCCCGCTCCGGGCAGACGAGCATTTGCTCGTGAGAGAACAGGGGATAGCCGAGGGTAGGGTCCCGTAGTATTCAGTAAGGGTCACCTGGAAGAGGGTCTCTCTCTCCTCGTCGTGGAGTAGTGTTGGCTTAACCCCCGCTCCAGGAAGACGAGTGAGAGAGCCCAAGGGGTAGCCGAGGGTAGGACCCAAATAGTATTCAGTGTCCGGGGTAAAGGACCGAGATAGAGTGCACCTACACTGGTGTGAGCGTAGGATGTCGAGTGTGACAGTGATTTAATAAAGGGCAACAGCCCTTATAGTGATTTGAAGCTTTCGTGACTGCAGGAATCCATACTCTTTGGTTCTTTCGGTAAAGTCACGTAATTTATTTTATTTTATACCTTCGTGACTCGTCTCCGCGTGGTTCTACTGCACAACACATACATACACTAACAAATACATGATTCCCTCCAGTCGCTTGCTCGCCGGTGATCAGTTGCTGCTTCATAACTCTTATATCACAACTGTTCCCGTGAACGTCATGTTGAGTACTTGTTCTTCCATACTGTTTCGTCTCAACCATACTGTGTTCAATCACCACAGTGTAGGTCAAAAGCCAAAGATCTGCCATATAGCCTTCGCAGACTGTTGGGGCAAGTGCTGTTATGAAGGCCAGTATGGTACACAAGAGAATGTGGCCAGCACACCGTACCAGGTACTAATTTGAGGATGAGTCGACCTAGAGGAGGCCCAGGACCGGTTCAGGTAGCCGTCACTGGTATTGCCTGTGAGCGGGAATCAGTCTCGGGTCGCCGGGTTCGTAGCACAGCGCACATAGCAATGCATCACCGTTCCCCACACACTGCAGGTCACACACACTTACATCCACACACAATGGTAGCCTGACACACTCAGAGACACACAAACAACTTAAGAGCTGCAGGTTCTGATGAGAAGGGGGCTCGGGGAGTTTGGAGAGGGGTAGAGGGGCTGTGACCTTGCCGCCATTGCCATGGGTTCTCAGGATGCCATCCTGCCAAGCCTTAGCTTTCTTGGTCTTCTGATGAGTGTAGAGCACCTGTGGCAAGGACACAACACAAGCAAACAATTACATTTTTAATTTTTAAAGAGCGCCCTTCACGTCAGGGAATCTCAAAGCTGTTTACATGCCATATAATGGAGTATTTATTACATGTATTATTTAATAATGGGTTAAAATAGCTCATAAGGAACTAGGTAAAATATTAAACCTAACGTGCTGCAATGAAGGGGTGAGGAGAAGAGGAGGGATAGCAGTGAAGGGAGAGGGGTGTTTGAGGGGAGTGGGAGAGAATGGAGTGAAGGGAGGGAGGCATGATTCTCCCCGCAAGGGTGAGTGAGGTAGATAACGGTGTAAGATAAGAGCAGTTTCAGTAGTGTACTGTACGAAAGCCTGAATGCAAAGGATGATGGAAGTCGTGGAGAGAAAGGTGGTTGGAAATGAGAAAAGATTATCTCAAACACCTTGAAGAGGAAGGAGAGATTGGAAATTGGGCAAATATGAGCGGGGTTAGAGGATGGCAGTGATGGAGGCGGCCTTGAAGAGTGAAGAAAGGGTAGAGAGATAACTGATTAACTCGTGATACTCTTGATAGGATGCGAAGGAAAATAACAGTTTTCAGCGCAAGGGTTCCAATGACTCGGTGGCGTGTTTGAGGCCAGTGATTAAAGATGAGATGTCTCGATGGTCAGACTGATGGGGAGGATCAGGTGGTGGGGGTGGAAAGGGGAGAAAAATAGGGTTGAGAAGAGTTCGAAAAAGAATGAGTGCAAACAGCACACACACACTACACAGCACATGCAATTTATTTAAGACTCAAACAGCACACAACATACACGCTAAACAGTATATCCAATGCATAAATGACTTAAGAATCATAATATTTATGTAGCCTGGATTAATCGATGAACTAAGGAGCTCTTTTGTCACACATTCCAGTAGGACTTACACAGCGCACACATGACAGAGAGTACAAACAATCCATGCAACACGACAGTACACACGTGCATATTACACACACAGTACATGATACCAAGGCCGTAATTATAATAAATATGCTCAAAATGTCCCCTCCAATATATTGCTATAAAATAGATTTCTGTTTATGATTGTGGTTATGGTTGTACATTATTAATCCCTAATCTCTGACATTACATACAATGAAACAAGAAAAGGTAAAAAAGAAAAAAACAGAGCAATGTAATACAATACACTATTAGACATTATTGTAAAAAATAAATAAAGAGTCCATCCTATCTGTTAGTGAATTTTTAAAATTTTAAGCAGGAAATTCGTTTTCAAATTTAGATTTTTTTTCTGGGGGGGGGGGACCCCGGGGGGGGGACCCCCCAGACCCCCTGGAAGATTTGGTCCCCCCCAATGTTGACTCCATGGCTACGGCCTTGCATGATACAATACATAAGACATCGTGTACTGCACAGTAGATGTCACACTTGACATGACAGTACACTCACAGTGAATTCTTGTGATGCCATTGTGAACCTGCCTTCAAACTCTTAGCCTGAAACACATGGACAATGATTCATGAAAAATGTTTTCTAAAGAACAAAGTACCACATTTAGAAATTAAACAGAATTAAGCAGGGAATCTCAAAATACAGTACTTTATCTCAAACGCAAAGGGATGTTAAATGAAATTGAACCCCTGCTTAAACCCCATACATTGGTGGGCATTGTACATTAGCATGACCGGTCTATGTGCACAACCACTGTAACATATCTCTTAAAAAGCGGTGGTCAATTGATCAACCGCACAGAAAAAATGATAGGCTGAATCACTCCCAACGAAGTGTCTTTTAATTGAACGTCGGAGTCGTCAGTCGAGAACTCCGAGCAGAACGCGACTCCGACGCGCTCACACACATGGCAGTTCGTCAGTGTTGATCTCGGGATTAATCAAATGGGAAGATAATGCACAGAATAACCAACAGGGCAGAATTATAACTTCAAGCACGTTGTCCCTTCACGTACAAACTGCACCCCGTTGATACATCCCCACCCCACGTCTAAGGCGAATGCAATCCAACACTATAACCACCATCGTCAACCCGAAGGCAATATATATCTCTCGAATACAGCAACCACTTTGTGTAAAGACAACAGTGGCTGTCTCCTTTGTATCAACTGGCTCCCGCATATGAATTAGGAATTTTCCGAAATTGTTTCCGGCCTGCTTATCCGAGTCGGGCAAACGCGTATTATAGTCTTGTGATAAAAAAAACAATAATCTAGAATTCGAATGCAGCCGTAGGCAGGGAGATGAGGAGAGAGATCGTTCGATACATTGAGACTGACAAAGACATTGAAAGACAGAGGCAAAACAAAAAAGACACGGAGACAGTGATATTGTCAAATGTAAGGAGTGAGATACACAGGGAGAGACGCAGAAACATAAGACAGATGGATACAGGTTGAATGGGTGACAGACGCAGAATGACAGAGTGACATACAGCGACAGTGACAGACAGGGGGACATTCACAGAGACAAAGCGAGACACAAGCACACCACAATCAAAGATTGAGAGGCACAGATTAAGGGAACCAGACACAAAGGCAGGCGGATGATATACAGAAAGACAGAGGGACAGACATAGATCAACACAGAGATACAAGAGACACACACAACTTTTGTCTGTCTTGCCGCGTCTGTGGTTTTTTTTCTGTTTACGACAAAAAGGGCGGGAAATAATTTCAGGCAGCGATCGCGACGTCACATCCGCTCGTGTTGACATTACGAGGCAATATATTTTGAAAAAAATCATATTTATTCGTATGTTCCCGTTATCATTCGAATTTTAGACGTTCGCAATGAAACTGTATTGCGATCAACTGCGTTTTTCTAAAAAAAACTATAAACCTTTTGTATTAATCGCGTGGTGAAAACGTCGCATCCTGGCGCCATGTTGCTCAGGGAATGGCGCCTCAGTTCAGTTTACATTTATTTAGGTATAGCCCTGTGAGCCATTCGGCTCTTGAATCGGGTGCAACCACAACAAACAAAAAACACACGAACAAGAAAAACATCTTAAAGTAACTGTGTGACTGCGCAAATAGAAAATCCATGAAAAAAAAACAACAAAATATTCCTGAAAAAAGCACCGTACACCAACGCTGTGTACAAAAAATCCCAGTGGGATGCAAGTCAAACAACAACAACCACAAAAACTTAGATTAAGGTCATCAGTCTAACTCCGTACTAAAACAAAACAAACATGTCCAAACCAAAAAACGTTTTCGAAATCACCAAAAAATAAAGCCATAATTGCAACGTAACAGTGATCATAGGGACTGTCCGAATTTTTACAATAAACTACATAAATAACATGTAACACCAAATCATAGGGCCATAGCTGGCTGGATGAGTTACTCCACAACAACAGAAGCATCGGTCGGAATATCAAAATTTTCAATGCACCTTTAAGATCAGCACGCTAAATCAAAATACAGATAATACTTTGCAGCGGTCATCCGGAGCGAAAACATTTTATTTTATGCCAATGAATAGCAGTGGCAGCTAGGGGTGTACAACTCCTCTAGAGCAGTTTTGAGAGAAGATCTCATAGGTAGCGATTCAAGTTGCAGTTTATTGGCAATAGCATTCCAGACCCTGGGGGCATCAATAGCAAAGGCCCTTCCCTCCCCCCTTCCGATATGCGATGACACATATACAGCGTGCTTATTTAACGGCAAACGTAATTGGTTTCCACTTGGCTAAACGCTGACAATGTCTGTTTTATAGATGATCTGTGGGTTGTTTGCGTTGCAATCGGGCCATGCGCAACTGCGTTAAGAACAACCTGGTGGCCTGGGGTTTGAGTCCTGACCACAGGAGCATCCTCACTGGTGAGAGAGACGTCTCACTCGGCCTTCGTCTCTGCCCGGGCCTTCGCCCGCATTCATAAACCCGCACCGACCAGCATGGCCAAAGTTTGGCAAAAACAATCCTCGTGTCCGATACGGCTTGGACATGCCTTCGTCCAACAGTGGCTTGACAAAGAGACGGAGCAAGCCTGTGGCAAAAAAATATAAAATAAAAAAAACACGGTACCAGAGTTGACTTGGACTAAATTAATGACACTGAAGTTATTAACTCCGGAGGGCCGTATTTACCGATGAGTGTAAATATCACGTTAAAAAAATTCCTTTCTAGATTTTTATGTCGACCGACATTAAGGCGCCAATGACTTCGCTAGTATCCGAGAAGGGGGGAGGGAGGTGAATTAGTTCCCACAGAAACATGTCCAAGTTTAACATTCAGGCAGAAGCGAATCTTCATTCATTGAGTCGAGTCAGCTGGTGTCATTCATTCATTGAGTAGAGTCAGCTGTTGTCATTCATTCATCGAGTAGAGTCAGCTGTTGTCATTCATTCATTGAGTAGAGTCAGCTGTTGTCCTTCATTCATTGAGTAGAGTCAGCTGTTGTCATTCATTCATTGAGTAGAGTCAGCTGTTGTCATTCATTGAATAGCATCAGCTGTTGTCATTCATTGAGTAGAGTCAGCTGTTGTCATTCATTCATTGAGTAGAGTCAGCTGTTGTCATTCATTCATTGAGTAGCGTCAGCTGTTGTCTTTCATTCAATGAGTAGCATCAGTTGTTGTCATTCATTCATTGAGTCGAGTCAGCTGTTGTCATTCATTCATTGAGTAGAGTCAGCTGTTGTCATTCATTCATTGAGTAGAGTCAGCTGTTGTCATTCATTCATTGAGTAGAGTCAGCTGTTGTCATTCATTCATTGAGTAACGTCAGCTGTTGTCATTCATTTATTGAGTAGAGTCAACTGCTGTCATTCATTCATTGAGTAGAGTCAGCTGTTATCATTCATTCATTGAGTAGAGTCAGCTGTTGTCATTCATTGAGTAGCGTCAGCTTTTGTCATGTATTCATTGAGTAGAGTCAGCCGTTGTCATTCATTCATTGAGTAGAGTCAGCTGTTATCATTCATTCATTGAGTAGAGTCAGCTGTTGTCATTAATTCATTGAGTAGAGTCAGCTGTTGTCATTCATTCATTGAGTAGAGTCAGCTGTTGTCATTCATTCATTGAGTAGCGTCAGCTGTTGTCATTCATTTATTGAGTAGAGTCAGCTGTTATCATTCATTCATTCATTGAGTAGAGTCAGCTGTTGTCATTCATTCATTGAATAGAGTCAACTGTTGTCATTCAATCATTGAGTAGAGTCAACTGTTGTCATTCATTCCTTGAGTAGAGTCAGCTGTTGTCATTCATTCATTGAGTAGAGTCAGCTGTTGTCATTCATCATTGAGTAGAGTCAACTGTTGTCATTCATTCATTGAGTAACGTCAGCTGTTGTCATTAATTCATTGAGTAGAGGCAGCTGTTGTCATTCATTCATTGAGTAACGTCAGCTGTTGTCATTCATTCATTGAGTAGCGTCAGCTGTTCTCATTCATTCATTGAGTAGAGTCAGCTGTTGTCATTCATTCATTGAGTAGAGTCAGCTGTTGACATTCATTTATTGAGTAGAGTCAACTGTTGTCATTCATTCATTGAGTAGAGTCAGCTGTTGTCATTCATTCATTGAGTAGAATCAGCTGTTGTAATTCATTCATTGAGTAGCATCAGCTGTTGTCATTCATTCATTGAGTAGAGTCAGCTGTTGTCATTCATTCATTGAGTAGCGTCAGCTGTTCTCATTCATTCATTGAGTAAAGTCAGCTGTTGTCATTCATTCATTCAGTGGAGTCAGCTGTTATCATTCATTCATTGAGTAGAGTCAGCTGTTGTCATTCATTCATTGAGTAGAGTCAGCTGTTGTCATTCATTCATTCATTGAGTAGCATCAGCTGTTGTCATTCATTCATTGAGTCGAGTCAACCGTTGTCATTCATTCATTGAGTAGAGTCAGCTATTGTCATTCATTCATTGAGTAGCATCAGCTGTTGTCATTCATTCATTGAGTAGAGTCAGCTGTTGTCATTCATTCATGGAGTAGAGTCAGCTGTTGTCATTCATTCATTGAGTCGAGTCAACCGTTGTCATTCATTCATTGAGTAGAGTCAGCCGTTGCAATTCATTCATTGAGTAGCGTCAGCTGTTGTCATTCATTCATTGAGTAAAGTCAGCTGTTGTCATTCATTCATTCAGTAGAGTCAGCTGTTATCATTCATTCATTGAGTAGAGTCAGCTGTTGTCATTCATTCATTGAGTAGAGTCAGCTGTTGTCATTCATTCATTCATTGAGTAGCATCAGCTGTTGTCATTCATTCATTGAGTCGAGTCAACCGTTGTCATTCATTCATTGAGTAGAGTCAGCTATTGTCATTCATTCATTGAGTAGCATCAGCTGTTGTCATTCATTCATTGAGTAGAGTCAGCTGTTGTCATTCATTCATGGAGTAGAGTCAGCTGTTGTCATTCATTCATTGAGTCGAGTCAACCGTTGTCATTCATTCATTGAGTAGAGTCAGCTGTTGTCATTCATTCATTGAGTAGAGTCAGCTGTTATCATTCATTCATTGAGTAGAGTCAGCTGTTAACATTCGTTCATTGAGTAGAGTCAGCTGTTGTCATTCATTGAGTAGCGTCAGCTGTTGTCATTAATTCATTGAGTAGAGTCAGCTGTTGTCATTCATTCATTGAGTAGAGTCGGCTGTTGTCATTCATTCATTGAGTAGAGTCAGCTGTTGTCATTCATTCATTGAGTAGAGTCAGCTGTTGTCATTCATTCATTGAGTAGAGTCAGCTGTTGTCATTCATTCATTGAGTAGAGTCAGCTGTTGTCATTCATTCATTGAGTAGCGTCAGCTGTTGTCATTCATTTATTGAGTAGAGTCAGCTGTTATCATTCATTCATTCATTGAGTAGAGTCAGCTGTTGTCATTCATTCATTGAATAGAGTCAACTGTTGTCATTCAATCATTGAGTAGAGTCAACTGTTGTCATTCATTCCTTGAGTAGAGTCAGCTGTTGTCATTCATTCATTGAGTAGAGTCAGCTGTTGTCATTCATCATTGAGTAGAGTCAACTGTTGTCATTCATTCATTGAGTAACGTCAGCTGTTGTCATTAATTCATTGAGTAGAGGCAGCTGTTGTCATTCATTCATTGAGTAACGTCAGCTGTTGTCATTCATTCATTGAGTAGCGTCAGCTGTTCTCATTCATTCATAGAGTAAAGTCAGCTGTGTCATTCATTCATTGAGTAGAGTCAGCTGTTATCATTCATTCATTGAGTAGAGTCAGCTGTTGTCATTCATTCATTGAGTAGAGTCAGCTGTTGACATTCATTTATTGAGTAGAGTCAACTGTTGTCATTCATTCATTGAGTAGAGTCAGCTGTTGTCATTCATTCATTGAGTAGAATCAGCTGTTGTAATTCATTCATTGAGTAGCATCAGCTGTTGTCATTCATTCATTGAGTAGAGTCAGCTGTTGTCATTCATTCATTGAGTAGCGTCAGCTGTTCTCATTCATTCATTGAGTAAAGTCAGCTGTTGTCATTCATTCATTCAGTGGAGTCAGCTGTTATCATTCATTCATTGAGTAGAGTCAGCTGTTGTCATTCATTCATTGAGTAGAGTCAGCTGTTGTCATTCATTCATTCATTGAGTAGCATCAGCTGTTGTCATTCATTCATTGAGTCGAGTCAACCGTTGTCATTCATTCATTGAGTAGAGTCAGCTATTGTCATTCATTCATTGAGTAGCATCAGCTGTTGTCATTCATTCATT